TATACCAGTCATATTAGCTATACCGTATCAGTAGGTAAATATACCAGCCATGTGTTAGCTATACCGTATCAGTAGCTAAATATACCAGCCATGTGTTAGCTATACCGTATCAGTAGGTAAATATACCAGCCATATGTTAGCTATACCGTATCAGTAGGTAAATATACCAGCCATATGTTAGCTATACCGTATCAGTAGGTAAATATACCATCCATATGTTAGCTATACCGTATCAGTAGGTAAATATACCATCCATATGTTAGGTAAACATACCATCCATATCAGTAGGTAAATATACCATCCATATGTTAGCTATACCGTATCAGTAGGTAAACATACCATCCATATGTTAGCTATACCGTATCAGTAAGTAAATATACCATCCATATGTTAGCTATACCTTATCAGCAGCTAAATATACCATCCATGTGTTAGCTGTACCATATCAGTAGCGAAATATACAGGCTATGTACCGTATCAGTAGCGAAATATACCAGCCATGTGTTAACTATACAGTATCAGTTAAATATACCAGTTATATACCGTATCAGTAGCTAAATATACCAGCCATGTTAGCTTAACTATACCGTATCAGTAGGTAAATATACCATCCATGTGTTAGGTAAATATACCATCCGTATCAGTAGGTAAATATACCATCCATATGTTATATCAGTAGGTAGCTATACCGTTATCAGTAATCCATATGTTAGCTATGCCGTAAAAATATACCATCCATATGTTAGCTATACCATCAGTAGGTAAATATACCATCCATATGTATATAATTAGACCATCCACTATACCGTATCAGTAGGTAAACATACCATCCATGTGTTAACTATACCGTATCAGTAGGTAAATATACCAGCCATGTGTTAGCTATACAGTATCAGTAGATAAATATACCAGCCATGTGTTAACTATACCGTATCAGTAGCTAAATATACCAGCCATATGTTAGCTATCTACCTGCTTCCTGTCCTGGGACACATGGACACTCTAACACGCCATTATGTCAGTGGTTTCGTGTTTGGATTATTGTATAAGTAATGCTTGAGTGAGTGAGTGCGTTCGTGCGTTCGTGCGTGAGTGAGTGAGTGAGTGAGTGAGAACAGCATTTCTGTTATATCATGCTTTATCGGTTAAGCGTGGGAGGCAAGCCGGAAGTGATGCGGGTCCCTGACATTTGATGTCAGGGGGATAAGGGATTCGTAGTATGTGTAGTATAGTGACGCAGCCGCTAGCACTGAACGCAGTTGCGTTGACTGTACGCAGTATTTAGGTAGAAATAACTTCTTTACCCTGAAAACAGTATAGACCCGTGAAAATCCGGGATAGAATTGGCCTTCAGTAACCCAAGCTTGTTACCTGTAAGAGGCAACTAACGAGATCGGGTGGTCAGGCTCGCTGACTTGGTTGACACATGTCATTGTATCCCAAATGCGTAGATCGATGCTGTTGATCACTGGATTGTCTGGTCCAGAGTCGATTAGTTACAGATCGCTGCCAATATTGCTGAGTAACAACCAACCAACTGAAAACATTAACATCATGTCCGCAATAAACACATTTGGAAACAAGTCACCAGATCACTTGACCTGTAAGCAGAAGCGTATGCCGAGTTTGTGAGCCACGTTATTGTAACCTTCGTAATGGTACTTCAATGTTAGGGTAGTTAACGATGCCATGTATATCTACAGTTACGTATAGTAACCACTTCTCAGATCCAGATACCACGAACTGTCTACCAGCTGGTCGCACCTTCACAACAGGCGCTCCATCACCCATTGTGGTCCAAGCTTCATGGGTGCAAGGTAAATAACCAGGGATTAAAATTAAAACTCGTTACAGTATAAATAGCACTTAAGAGCGTCACCACTATAATCATCGGTTTGATCCCTCCATACTGTAGTTTCCAAGCGGTAAACGTGGAATTCCATCAAGTTGATTTCGGTATAAATCTGAAACACCAGAAGCAGGTGTCATAACGAATTTAACCACTCACTTCTTTTTGTGGCCTATCCATATCTTTGATATTATCATCCCATCAAAGCAAAACGGAACAAGTAATTTTCCCATTGCCCATTGCAGAAAATACTGTGCAGATGTGGACCATAATGAGCCTACCAGCACCACATGGGTTTTTTATGATGTGTGACCTTGCTGACTGGGTGACCTTGTACTCATCGCTGCTGCTGTCGAACAATAGAACATGACGATTCTAATGGATTGTTTACTACCCAAGCAATTGCTGCAATATTGTTGAGAGTGGCGTGAAGCAATATTGTTGAGAGCGGCGTGAAGCAATATTGTTGAGAGTGGCGTGAAGCAACATTGTTGAAAGTGGCGTGAAGCAACATTGTTGAAAGTGGCGTGAAGCAACATTGTTGGGAGTGGCGTGAAGCAACATTGTTGAGAGCGGCGTGAAGCAACATTGTTGAGAGTGGCGTGAAGCAACATTGTTGAGAGTGGCGTGAAGCAACATTGTTGAGAGCGGCGTGAAGCAACATTGTTGAGAGTGGCGTGAAGCAACATTGTTGAGAGTGGCGTGAAGCAATATTGTTGAGAGTGGCGTGGCGTGAAGCAATATTGTTGAGAGTGGCGTGGCGTGAAGCAACATTGTTGAGAGTGGCGTGAAGCAACATTGTTGAGAGTGGCGTGAAGCAACATTGTTGAGAGCGGCGTGAAGCAACATTGTTGAGAGCGGCGTGAAGCAACATTGTTGAGAGTGGCGTGAAGCAACATTGTTGAGAGTGGCGTGAAGCGATATTGTTGAGAGTGGCGTGGCGTGAAGCAATATTGTTGAAAGTGGCGTGAAGCAATATTGTTGAAAGTGGCGTGAAGCAATATTGTTGAAAGTGGCGTGAAGCAACATCCACCCACATTATCGTTTCGGATCACGAGTTAACCAAGTCACACGCAATGTAAATTCCCGAAACAAGCTCGCTATATATCCAACATATCCAGGTGGAGGGTCGGATTCTGCTTTGCTGACAGCTACCAACAGTTGAGTGAATGAGTGAGTTGGGTTTTAGCAATATTCCAGCAATATCATGGTGGGGGACGCCAGACATGGGCTTCACACATTGTACCCATGTTGGGAATCGAACCAGGGTCTTCGGCGTTTCCAGTTGGTGAAGCCCATGGAAACGACACTGTAAATGACAACCGAGAAACATAATTGGGATGAATATGACAATGGAAAAGTGTCTGGCACGCCTAGCCGTGAAGATCCTGGTTATCTAGAATTGATCTTCAGTAACCCATAGTGTTGGGAATTGGTTAAAATCTAATAATTGATGATTGGTCCATTACAACCGATCAATCATCGAAAATAATTGGTTAGCGTCATTTATCAAATGTTCCTGTTATCTTTGTTAATGCACACAAAAAATAAAGAAAAAACATGTAGTAATTTGGGTTTCTTGCAAATTGCATAAAGTCCATTTGCAAATTTTGCATATTTAAATGATCATTAGTATGTTAGGAACACATATTTCCTTGATTCTTTAAGATAAATTCAATCATGACTTGGAACGAGCTTGTAGTGCTTATGAAATGTAAATTTAATGATACAGACAAAACCATCCCTGTGAAAAATATTGTTAATGCAAACAAGTGTTCCAAGATCGGTCGTGTTCGATTACGAGAAAACATGTTCGATTGCTTGGTCGTTTAGTCACTGCGAGCAATCTTCGATTATTTCAATTAATCGGACCACCACCAGTAACCCATATGCTTGCCGTAAGAGGTGACCAACGGGATCGGGTGGTCAGGCTCGCTAACTTGGTTGACACATGTCATCGTATCCTAGTTGGGTAGATCGATACTCATGCTGTTGATCATTAGATTGTCTGGTCAGATTCGATTATTCGTTCTTGTTACGACTCGTGCAGCTCTAGATCTGTTTTGTACCCGTTGGGGTCTGTTGATGGAGGTTGTTCCGGAAATCAGAGAGTTACAGTAGTCAAGCCTGGAGGTAACATAACATCGGATAAGGAGTTTAGTGGTCTCGATGTACAGATAGCGCCTGATCTTCCCAACACGCCGAAGATGTAGTGACGCAGCCCTCGCTATGGCCAGAGAGTGGGAGTCTGGTGACATGGAACTTGAGAATGTCACGCCAAGATTTTTCACCTGTTGTGATGGAGCAATGGTGTCTCTACCAACTGAGAGTGAGGGATTAGAGATCTTGTTTTGTTGTACCTTGGTGCCAATTATCATGAATTCGGTTTTGTTGTCGTTTAGCTGGAGAAAGTTGGTGGTCATCCAGGTGCGGAGGTCACTGATACACTGCTCTAGAACTGCAACTGATGTGGTGTAGTTCGATGGACTGATACCTGTATAGAGCTGGTTGTCATCAGCATAGCCGTGAAACTCGAGGTTGTACTTCCTGATGATGTTGCCGATGGGGAGAATGTACAGGGAGAACAGGATCGGGCCCAACACTGAACCCTGCGGTACGCCGGGCTTTAGCCGGGATGGACTTGAAGCTTCAGCATCAACTTTGACCCTTACAGTTCTGTTGGTGAGATATGATCTAAACCACTCTAGGGCAATGCCAGTGATGCCTACAGTGTGTTCCAGCCTCTGTAACAGGATGCTGTGGTCCACCGTGTCGAAGGCGGCGGAGAGGTCCAAGAGTGTGCGTGCGTGCGTGCGTGTGTGTGTGTGTGTTCAGGGGTTCGAACCCCCTTTTGAAAATGACCCCCTTTTGAAAGACCACATTGAAAAAAAATTGCTCCCCTTTCAAAATTCCTGGATACGCTCATGCATTCACAGTTCACCATGCATCTTAATTTGTTATATTTATATATGAAAGTCATAACATGAATATATATTAAAACGATGGAGCTCGTAGCTGATCCCATAAATTCACACGCCTGTAGGGACACGACCGGGTTCCTCCTCACAGCCGCACAGAATGCGCATTCAGCCATGTTAAGACTTTAACAATACATGGATTACCTCCCTTCCACAGGTCAATGCGCCTGCGCTAGCGGAAACCCGCTTTATACAAAACAAACTGAATTTACGAAGTTTTATCGAAGTGTGTGACTTTGTTGACACGAAGTAAGTCAATATCAGTGATCATGACATACTCCTGACTGTCAAAGCAGTCAAACTGTATATGTCTCAACTCATGATCAAACATGGACACAATGAATTCTTCGTTTACAACTGTGCCCACAGTGAGCATGATCCCAGGGCAAGGGACGCCGTCGTCTGCATCAACGCCTGCAATGAACAACAACAGTGCCATGGATGACGGTTCTAATCTTACTGCTGCGGGTTTAAGACAGAGTAGTAGAGAGTTTGCTGAACAGATAAGAAGACTGGAACTGGAAGGAAATAAGCTACGAGAAGTGACATTAGCTAGTTTGGCAGGTAAGGACTAAGGTAATGACAGCCAGGCAGGACTAGGCATGTCAAGGGAAATCCGCCAAGTAGGAAACCTGAACTTCGTGGAAAGTTTGTGTTCGTGTCATGCAGGAGAAATGATCTTTCATGTCAGACAGCAGGGTGTCGATTTCACTTTAATGGCAAACATATGATATTTTTTCTGACCGGGAGGTATGACTCTAAACAATGTCAATAAAGCAGAAGACCTACTTCATGGCAGAAGTGAGCATGGATGCTCGATGGGTTAATAATCTTAGCCTTAGGCGGTTGACTAATGAAAGCTAACCTGGATTACAGTCTTAAGGTAATCTGACATCAAACAACTGAAGGTGTATTCCATTTCTCAGGGAACAAATTGTTTTCACGAGTTCACTGATATGAATGGAACAATATTTTCCTCAATATTAACATGCTAACAAGACTTAGTGACTCTAAATATCTTTAGTGAAATATCAGTGTTTTGTATAATTATTCATAAATTATACATAATAATTCTGAAGACTTACATACATACATGCTCATATTGTGTACTAATTTTGTTGTGGATACTTGTAATAATAACTAAATCATGATAATAATAATAACCATGATACATTTTGAATGAGATGAAATATTTTATTCTTCTTTTTTTGTGAAATATATTTTTACAGAAGACCCACTTTATTACGCTCATCAAGAATTGATTAGACAAACAGTTTCTCAAGATAAAATACTGTAATTATTAAATTAGTGTTTAACATGTTTAAACATATTTAAAATGTGCTACACAGCACAGTTCAACTTTACATGTTCATCAAAGTGGTCATCAAACCATTGTACCTGTTCTGCTGTAATTCAGAGTATTATCATGATTATCAAACCTAAGGAGGGATGAATGCAAATTACAAACACATATACCCTGAATGATATTGCAACAACAAATTATCTTGCCCACATATTTCACGCTGCCTTTGTACAAAAGTTAAAATATATTGAAAATTGATAGAAAGCATTTGTTTGAAAGTGCTGAGGTCAAGTTGTGCAGTGTTGCATGATTTTTATTGACATGTTAAATGTGTGTGGCTTTTTGCATCATGGTGGGGCATATAGGATTTATTCTTCCAGTGAGGACTATATTTCCTTCCCAGGGGAAATACTTAGTATTTTATCTGGATCATATCAACAATCATGTCTCAAGATTTTGACATAGAGCTTAGATAACATTGAATCCCCATGATAACACCTACTAATAGCAGGACTAGGTCTCTAAACCTTAAACATCACAGTCAATACTTACACACCTGGGCATGCAGAGTAATATGCATCTCGGAGTATGACAGTAGTGTTTTAATTACAGTACTTATTACCAAGCGCATTTGTAGTGCAGCACTCACTTTGTGACCACCAGTTATTGTTTACGACATCCCAACATCATTGTTGACATCATTCTAATTTTTATTGTTATTGTGATGTGAGGTAGAAATGATGTGATACTTGAAATGATGTCACTTTAGAAATGATGCCACACAAGAAATGATGTCACACAAGAAATGGTGTAACACTAGAAATAATGTCACAGCTGAAAGCAGTTGATGTTGGCTGACAATTTTGGTTGTGATCTGGGCATTGTTTGGAAGAGGAGTTCAAAAGGAATAAGAAATAATGGATAAAACATAAATCTTTACACTCACATTTGTGTCATACTTGTTTTCTAAAACCTATCTAAGAATTCAAGTATTACCCACACTCTCATTCACGAAGTACAGGAATCCTGACAGATGTGTAAACAATCAGTATTGTCCACATGCTGTTATCATCATATCTGTACATGCAGAAAGAAAAATGTTCTTTATCATGAAGAGCCTCCCAAATTGTAATGTCTTCTAGTGTCCCTCAGATGAATGCTTAAGGTTTAATAGATATTACTCAAGTACATACAGTTTAATACTAATAGACAGGGTAGGGGTTCAGTTGTTCACCAAACTTTGTTTCTTATCTGAACAACTCACAGACATCATTAACAGAGCGTGATAGCCAATGGAATAGGTACATGTACACCGTGCAGTAATGGCTAGTGGTAACAGGAAGCCTTTGCCAGCCTTATAAACCAGCTTGAATCTGTCAATATCCTATTGTCTGGTACTTTTCTATTTGGGATGCATGTAATTTCACAATGCAGGATAATATTTACAGCTGTGCTATGATCACTTTGTGACGTGTAAGAACTGAAAAAGATGGCAGAGTAAGGTGCTGTTATAAAACTACATTTTTCATCAATCAATAAGCATGAGTGGATTGCTATTTTGATCTGTGTAATGCACACAAAGTGCGTTACTGTAGAGTGCAATACACAGTGTGATGGCATCCCATGTTGGCATGTGAGTGAGTGAGTTTAGTTTAAGCCGCTTTTAGCAATATTCCAGCAATATGACACCAGGGGACACCAGAAATGGGCTTCACACATGTACCCATATGGGGAATCAAACCCGGGTCTTCACCGTGCTGAGAGAATGCTCTAACCATTAGGCTACCCCACAGCCCCTATGTTGGCATGTGGAACATCCTTATTATGTGCTTGTCTCATGTATCTAGTAACCCGTGTAGGTATTCCACCTTGTATCCATGTGATATCAAATGCTGTAACAGTAATTGTGGTTATCTGCAGTAATCGGTAGTAACAGGCATACTCTAATGAAGACTTCAGACAACCTTCGAACACGTGGATGTCATGTTGTCATGCTCTTACATTTCAGGAAATCTGAGCATGGATGCAACCGATACCAGTTTTGAGGTGAGTCAGTCTCCCTAGACTACTAGTCTAAACTGTCAAACAAGGTCTGCAACCACTGCCAGTTGCCGGCAGCCCGAGTCCAGTACATGTCTATTGGTTTGTGTAATCTCAGGTTATAATCATGACAATAGTCCATATGAAATAAACAAAATATCCTTTCTGGATGGTATTTTGTTGTTTCATTAACCCATTTTTAAGTTTGCTGCATAGAACAGTATTGACAAGAAGATAGAGTGAATTAGTTACTGTCATAAGTAGGGTTGTTATGATTCATTCACATATTTGGTGAATTGAATCATATCCAATCATGAATTCAATTTGTTATTCGCGATCACTAGAATAGAGTATCAGTATTTTTTCAAACAGAGTGTTTTCACTTGAATTCTATGTGATATTTATCATTCTAATTCAACTTAGTATGTAACACGAGTTCTGATTGGTCAATGCTATAAATTTCCGACCACATATATCAGCATATACGGTCGCAATTTGAAACCCGATTCACCAAAACCTTTAAATGTATCCCTACACTTTTGGGGTAACGCTGCTTTGCAGGACATTGTCATTTGCAGAAGCCATAGGTCAAATAACTGCCCTATCCAGGTAAAATGGGTGGAATTTGTGTTAAAAACGACAAAATAGTATCATAAATTTAATTTTAAGTTCAAACAACTAACTCGCAACGGGCTGTTGACCCAACACTGTTAGATCATGAAACAAGATTATGACGTCATTATGGAGCGTGACGTCACCTGCTGTGATGTCATTTGACAACAGAACTGATAATGGCCCGTAGTTAAGGAATCAGCGGGCCGCTCGTTTCTTTAACTAGAGGGCGGTTTCATCATAATTCCTTCCATTTTATCGATAATACTATGATCTCTTCATCATTGTCAGATTTAGTCTGTTTGCACATAATAAACGTGTGTAGTTTGAAAAGGGAACTACTTTTTCTGGCGATGGTGTAAGTTCAAGGAGTGATATGATTAACCTTTGACCTAGAGGAACTTTGACCTGGTTTAAATAATGAATTCTTTATCGAAAAAACAGCGTAAAACGAGTTGAATTAGAATGGGGATAACTGTACTGTGTTTGGCTGAATTGGGGGGCGTATACTGGTGGTTATATAGCAGCAAATTTAGCGATATATCGATATCGCTTGCTTGCGTCGCCGATATAACTAAATTTGCGGCTATATAACCACCGGTATACGTCTCCAATTCATCAAACACAGTACAGTTATCCCCTAAAAACGATGTATGCAAAATGGAATATATCCAAGCCAAGCTGGGTAATAGTCAACATTCCTAGATCTTTAATTTGACTGTAATGTGGTTACTGGTCATTGCCGTGATAAATAAGTATGGTCGGTTTGACAACATGTCAAAGAATGTGTTTCTTTTTGTTTCACAGAATATCATTTATGATACATCAACTGCTGGCTTGTTTTTGTGTTCATTACCCAATATTCATGATATGTACAATATTTGCCTCAAAGTGGATTCCTCCTTTAAGTGGCATCCAAGTGCAGCCCTAGTGAAAGGATGTGTTCAGCATGTTCGGTACTCATTGATGCATTTGTACCTTATGTTTTGCAATTTGCATAATCATCTTGATAATAACAATAATTGTGTACTGAAACCCTATTTTCCAGACTGTGAAGCCTGTGGTACCTCCTGCATCCCTTGCATCTCTCATTGACATTTCATCCGAACAAAAGACTATCTCAGACCTCAGGTACTGTGTTTATATCTAGACCCAACTGCACCATGTCAGACCTCAGGTACTGTGTTTATATCTAGACCCAACTGCACCATGTCAGACCTCAGGTACTGTGTTTATGTCTAGACCCAACTGCACCATGTCAGACCTCAGGTACTGTGTTTTATGAGACCTCACCATGTCAGGTACTGTGTACTTTTATGTCTAGACCCAACTGCACCATGTCAGACCTCAGGTACTGTGTTTATATCTAGACCCAACTGCACCATGTCAGACCTCAGGTACTGTGTTTATGTCTAGACCCAACTGCACCATGTCAGACCTCAGGTACTGTGTTTATGTCTAGACCCAACTGCACCATGTCAGACCTCAGGTACTGTGTTTATGTCTAGACCCAACTGCACCATGTCAGACCTCAGGTACTGTGTTTATGTCTAGACCCAACTGCACCATGTCAGACCTCAGGTACTGTGTTTATGTCTAGACCCAACTGCACCATGTCAGACCTCAGGTACTGTGTTTATGTCTAGACCCAACTGCACCATGTCAGACCTCAGGTACTGTGTTTATGTCTAGACCCAACTGCACCATGTGTTTAGACCTCCTCAGGTACTGTGTTTATGTCTAGACCCAACTGCACCATGTCAGACCTCAGTGTTTATGTCTAGACCCAACTACTGTGTTTATGTCTAGACCCAACTGCAGACCTCATGTCAGACCTCAGGTACTGTGTTTATGTCTAGACCCAACTGCACCATGTCAGACCTCAGGTACTGTGTTTATGTCTAGACCCAACTGCACCATGTCAGACCTCAGGTACTGTGTTTATGTCTAGACCCAACTGCACCATGTCAGACCTCAGGACCCACTGCACCATGTTTATCTAGTCTAGACCTCAGATACTGCTACCCAACTGCACCATGTCAGACCTCAGGCTCTGTGTTTATGTCTAGACCCAACTGCACCATGTCAGACCTCAGATACTGTGTTTATGTCTAGACCCAACTGCACCATGTAAGACCTCAGGTACTGTGTTTATATCTATATCTAGACCCAACTGCACCATGTGAGACCTCAGGTACTGTGTTTATATCTAGACCCAACTGCACCATGTGAGACCTCAGGTACTGTGTTTATATCTAGACCCAACTGCACCATGTCAGACCTCAGGTACTGTGTTTATATCTAGACCCAACTGCACCATGTCAGACCTCAGGTACTGTGTTTATATCTAGACCCAACTGCACCATGTCAGACCTCAGGTACTGTGTTTATGTCTAGACCCAACTGCACCATGTCAGACCTCAGGTACTGTGTTTATGTCTAGACCCAACTGCACCATGTCAGACCTCAGGTACTGTGTTTATGTCTAGACCCAACTGCACCATGTCAGACCTCAGGTACTGTGTTTATGTCTAGACCCAACTGCACCATGTCAGACCTCAGGTACTGTGTTTATGTCTAGACCCAACTGCACCATGTCAGACCTCGGACATATATTCCTTGATTTGAGACCCAACTGACATAGAAGGGTTCCATGTCATTACATATATTCCTTGTTTGAGGAAACAGACTTGGCATGCACTTTGTCTCTTGGCATGCACTTTGTCTCTGAAGCGTTTTACTTAGTGACATTTTGTTAGTTTTTATTCTAATATTTGGACCTGTATCATTTTGGTTAAGAATTCTATTCACATTAGTTGAATCTGGTAGGTCGTCATCGAACTATTCCGATTTTAGATTGACTTTGTCTCAGAACATGCATACAGGTTACCAAGATGAAAATATGGTGAGCAAGTGGTGCAGCAGTCTGTGTGAGTTGCCATCCTTGAAGTTTGGTTTAAGATCATTTGTGGTCAGTAATCAGCCAGTCAGAATCAAGAATCCCACTAAGTTGCTTGAATCATGATTTAAACTATATGGAATTACCACAAGCTTATGCTTGAAAATGTCCACTCAGCCTGCTGCAGGAAATATTTATTTGCACTATTCTATCCCTTCCCTGTATTCACACTATGTAGTACTGTTGTCCACCTCAGCAAATATATATAGATACCAATATGTTCTGTTTAATGGCATTGAATATTCATTGTCTTGTCAGCCATGGTTGACTGTTGTTTGGGCACTGTTGGAGCATTTAGTGTTACATTGCTGACTGTCGGTATCCAGTGACTCAGTTACCATGGTGACTGTTGCCAGGGTGCAGCTGGAGCAGCAGCGGAAGGAAACTGACCGGCTGCAGTCCCAACTGCTCACAGACCTCCCTCCCAGTCACAGCTTCACCAGCGTTCCATCCAGCCCCTCCAAGTCAGCCTTCTCCACACTGCCACCCACACCGGAACTCTCCACCTCCAGGAACAGAGCCTTCGAGTTTGTTCCACCGTACGTTCCACACTCTTAACCCATGGGTTCCACCGATTTTCACTGGTCTTAGTGATATGGTTGCCTTATGATATGTTACTGGTAACTTGCTACTTTTAAAGCTACTAGAGCACTTGCACATTAACAGGAAGGCTGGTATGTGTTTAAATACCTTATTATATATGTAGATGTTGTTTAGCAAGATGACAAGCTGTGTATTGTTAATGTTAATGCCATATCTACTGCGACACGCGTTGTTTGACATGTGTTTCCTAACTTGTGTGTAGATCCCATCTGGAACGAGCTCTCAAAGAATCTCAGGAACAAGTGTCTGACCTCAGGAAGAAACTTCAGGAGGTGAGGCTTCCAGATATGGGAAGTTCTTTCTGTCTTAATGACTTGTGAAACTGGCCTGTTCTTCTCTCCTACATCCAAGTTATCTCTAAACCACATTCGGTAACAGGTTTTATGCCCTTCTTTAGAGGGAGATATGGTTTCTTATTCCCCTTTGAAGAGACATCTGCTATGGGAGTACAGCTGTCTACAATCTGTTAGACTGCATGTGTTAGCATGATTGTACCCTACTCCTCAGTCCTGTATCAGTTTGGAAGCACATAGCAGTAGATGATAGCAGCTCAAGTTGATATATGTAGGAACACTTTCTCAGAAGAAACACAGGATGATCAGATAGCTCTCAGTAGCCAGTGTGACTGGTAAGCTGCGACTTGTATAGCACTGGAATGTATGTGTCGGGGATGGGGGATCAGGGGTGGGGGTATGTAGCACCTGCCCAGGTGGCGGTGTAATCAGTTGTCTTGGTTTGTTGACACTTGATCTTGATAAGAGTGGTGGAGGGATTAGGTCGATATGAGGGCAGATGAAAGTGAAGTGGGGCTTGGTTTTGACATGACTGTTGTAATGTAAACCATGATCAACAATGCCTTGAGGACAACTTCAGTTTAGTGTTTTCTCAGGCTAGACAGTCCTTGTGCACCAAGATTTAAAATAGAATTTAAATGCTGTTTTAGACTGGATTTTATGACCATTTCAAACCTGAGTTATGACCATGAAAATCTGTGGGCAGCTTCTGTCATTTGACTTTCAGATAAGCCTGCTTGTCATTTTGCTAAAGTAAACTGAAAACAATATGCTGTGTTGGATGTAGAATATTCATTGTACCATGAAGTTGGAAATATCTATTGTAATTGCTTAATCAGACATATCAAATCACAACACCTGTTCTTGAAACAGGCTGCATGGCTCAGGAGGTTAGTATTGATAAACTACTTCCTTCTCAGTCAGTGTTGGTAGACACTTGGAATAATGATGGGTGTAGTGATAGGCTACAAAATACAGTGCTGCATTCGCTGGTATATGTTTTCATTTTGTAGAGAAATGTTCCACTGGTGACACTGTTAGTGTTGGATTATCACATGGCTGGACTTTTTGTCTTGGATATTTATTCTGAATTAAGAACACAGGGGCTTAATGCAAGTCTGTTGATGTGCATGTCATATTGTTTTTCATCTGTTTACAGACATACTACTGACAGTATTTCTTTACATCAAATTGACTGTATCACTTGCTCTCCATACTGCTTTGGTGTCAGCATGTGAAGGATAAATATGCGGACAGAAAATGGATTTCATGCTTTGGGATATATTCTCACTGACAGTTTAACATTACATGACATATCTACAGTGAGACCCCAGATACCCGGACCCCAAATATCCGGAAACCTCTCCTTCCGGTCAATTTTCATTAAAAAACAATCTCTTACGTTATAAAAGTGACTGTCTATAACGGATATGCGGTTTCCGTTCCCGGACGGTAAATTTTACAAACCAACTGGTTAAAGCAACACAAAATTGACTCACTTATCCGCACCAAGCTTTGATCTACCGCTGACCGTGTGAAGGGAAGCGCGAGAGTCCCACGTGTTTTGACACAAGACAAGGTCTGCTAATCCGGATTAATGATTGATCAGCAGGGTATTGGTGGTGATTAGTAGGCCTGTCTGACACAGAGTAAATTGTCGTTGTCAAATCAAAACGACCATGCTGTTCTGGAAGTGATTTTAAACCAGAAGTGTATGCTCGCTACTGTTCAAACACCTACTATATTATTGTGCATGTTTGAACTTGATCGCCAGGAAACGTGTGCACAGCTGATTGCTATTTCCGGCTCAAATACACACGGTAATCTTAATCCCTGCAAATAATACAATGCCTTGCAAAAACAACTTAGAACATAAAAGGTAAATAATCTTGTCTAGTGATGTTTAATTGCAAATTTGACGTCATTACTGACAATGTTGTCTTCTGTTGTTTGTTCCCGCGAAGTGATATGATGTTGTTTTCTTACCCCTGGAAAAAAGTTTAACAAAAGCGTAACTCATGAAGATAAGCTGCCCCCTCCTACACACTGCTTTTTTATCCTCAAATTCGGCTTATAGACAGTAATATACGGTAAGCCTGGATGACAGAAATCCAGATATCCGGATATTCAGTTATCCGGACGATTTATGTAAAAACGAATGTGTCCGGATATCCGGGGTCTCACTGTATATGTTAATGTGTAGACACATCCAACATGAACAGTTGGAACAACACATGAATGGCCTGTGTAAGATGTGTCATAGGTAAAGGGCTAGCCTCAAGGAACTCTGGGTAGGAAAGTCATTGGCTTCATACGAAAGAAACATATTGATATTGCTATCTAGGCTTTGATGAACTCAGGCCAGTAATCTGTTCAAGCAGATTAGTATTTTGTAACTCATCTGAAAGAAAATGGCACAAACTTTCTATTCAATTTGCAACTGAAAAAAAAGGCATGACTCTCATCACTTTCGGAAAAGATTTCAACGCATGATTTAAGAACAGACAGAACCATCAGCGTGTTGTCACCTTAATTCAGACAGACACTTAATAAAAAAAATGACTTTTTTTCCTGCAGGTTAATGACACAACTGAAAGCCAAAAGCGCCAGTTCCGTGTCAACATTGAAGAGCTGAAGTCCAAACTGCATGAGACGATTGTGAACCGAGACACAATACTAGAACTCAGGTAGGACCCGCTGACACTGCAATATAGCTGTAGGTCTACAACTCATGGGCAGGGATATTTCCATCATTTGTCTACTGGTGGAATCAAAACTGAAAGAATTCTTTGCTTATGTGATCTCTGTTGACAGTTGTTAGAAGTAGAGTTTAAAAATTGACACTTCCTGCCAGGTTAAACGTTGTTCCTACTTGGGGCTGGACAGCCCACTGACGATAGGATGGAGGAGTACTGGAAGATGGTCCTACCCCACAGTTTTAATCTGAAAATGGGATATTTTTCATTTTGAATTCCTGGGCCAGTGGATTTTTACCAGGGTTAGTTACATTTACAACCCACAGCCACTTGGGCCAAATACAAAGTCCTGCCACTGAGAGACATAAGATGTGTATACATTGCCTGATTACTTGTGTTCATGGATCGAATAGCATTTGTAGTGTAGAGTCAGGCTTGGTTGATGGTGTGTCATTGTTACACACAGACACAATTGTTGATCAAAATACTGAGTACTCATGTTTGATTTTCAGCCTTCAAACAACTGGAATATTGCTGAGTGTGGCTTTACACAACACACGTTTTGGCATGTTGCTAGTGTTACCTGTGTTACCTGTGTAAGTTTGTACTGTACTTACAGACAGAAGGAGGCAATGAGCCAGGAGGCTGTCATCTCTAAGCTCAAGGCCTCTCTCCAGCAACAACATGAACGCAATAAGGGTCAGGAGACGTCCCTCGCAGATGCCAACAAGAAGCTGGAAGCTATCAGCCATACCAGCCACATCGCCAACACTACCATCACTCAGATCCAGACACTGCTGGCTGAGAGGGAGAAGTGCCGAGGAAAGCCATTCTTCGAGTCCAACTTTGTGTCCAGCCAGGGCCCAGCCATGTTGATCCACACTCTGGAAAGATGTCTGCAGGAACTGGACACGGAACTGGATGCAAAACGAAAAAAAGTTAATGAGGTATGCATTATAAGGCTCACTGTTGTGTTACTGTGGTATGGGGTACTAGGTTCACTGTTGTGTTGCTGTGGTGTGGGTTACTAGGTTCACTTTTGTGTTACTGTGGAATGGGTTACTAGGTTCACTGTTGTGTTGCTGTGGTATGGGTTACTAGGTTCACTGTTGTGTTACTGTGGTATGGGTTACTAGGTTCACTGTTGTGTTGCTGTGGTATGGGTTACTAGGTTCACTGTTGTGTTCCTGTGGTATGGGTTACTAGGTTCACTGTTGTGTTACTGTGGTATGGGTTACTAGGTTCACTGTTGTGTTACTGTGGTATGGGTTACTAGGTTCACTGTTGTGTTGCTGTGGTATGGGTTACTAGGTTCACTGTTGTGTTACTGTGGTATGGGTTACTAGGTTCACTGTTGTGTTACTGTGGTATGGGTTACTAGGTTCACTGTTGTGTTCCTGTGGTATGGGTTACTAGGCTCACTGTTGTGTTCCTGTGGTATGGGTTACTAGGTTCACTGTTGTGTTCCTGTGGTATGGGTAACTAGGTTCACTGTTGTGTTACTGTGGTATGGGTTACTAGGTTCACTGTTGTGTTACTGTGGTATGGGTTACTAGGTTCACTGTTGTGTTCCTGTGGTATGGGTTACTAGGTTCACTGTTGTGTTACTGTTCAAAACAAATCATTTCTGTTCAAAACAAACAAGACATTAATGTTATTCCATGGGCCATTTTAGTTAGTTTGACCGTTTCATTACTAATTCCTCAAATGTTTGAAAATGTGAAACAATCCTTTCGTGTTTTATTATATGGGATATTTATAATTGTCTTCAAAGAGAGCTCAACTTGTAATACTGTGGCGATAAGGTTTTGAACCACCTACCTTTTCTACTTATCATCTGACTTTGTTAACTTTGTCACTGGGGAACCGCGTGCACCCTTCTCCGATTCCTCTGTCAAATGTATAGGTGCTCTGGTATATATATGTTTAAATGTTTCAGGTCCAGCAGGATCTGGAGAACTCTCAGTCCATGTCTTCTCAGAAAGTACAAACGCTTGCCAAAGACTATCATGAGAAGTAAGTGTTCATGTGTGTGTTAACAGAGATCATACATCACTAAGATCATACATCAGCTATCTTGCTGGGATTCAAGATTCAATCTCTCTCTGTTTCTGAATTAAGATCGTAGGAGATCAGATCACGTGTCACTTAAAAATGGAGATGTCTACATTAGCTGCCAATTAAACACCTTTCTCCAGATTTATGAATGTTCATCCCATTGAAGAGAGAGGTAGATGATGATTGTTGAGGCAATCAGTTGTGCAGTAACCCCATGTTGACCTTTTGAGGTCATTTGATTACAAAACACAATCACACAACCATATTGCCATCTGGTGGGTGATGGCCTACTTGGCTGTACATAGGGTCTGTAATGGTATGTTCTTATAGTTTGTTTAGTGGTAGTGAGGACAGAGATCTGACTTTCAGGGGATTGTTCTATGTTAGAATAGATCTCCAGCAACTCATGATAGGCTTAAGGGCTCCAGTGTATGGTTGAACACACTCAGTGATGGCATCGTCATAGCCCAGTCGGGTGGACCACACGTTAGCACTGTCCGGCCCAGATTTGTATATTTGTACAAGCGGCAGCCATATTGCTGAAATATTTTGAGTGTGTCATTAAATACCGAATAACAACAAACCACAGTGTAGCTGATATAAAACATTGTAGTGAAACAAAAAGACAACTGTAGACAGATTTGTGGGTTGCCAGATCCTGATGTCGTTGTTTTAAACTGCTGTGAAAAATGAATGCATGATTTTTCTTCCCCTTTTTCAGTTTACAAAGAGAATCAGAAGATGCTTTGAAAAGGTAATTAGGTTTTTGCTAACTGCAGGCTTTCTTCTTACATGCTCCTTAGTTTTTGTAAGAAAGGAGTTTTTTAGCCTTGAATGTTCTCATTTTTCTAGGTTGTCATGAAGTAGGGCACATGTTCCATTTTCCAATGATTAAAGGTGGATATGATAATTCCACTCTATGCAAGTCCTTCCACATGATTGAAATCTCTTCACCATGCAGGTCCTCACACCTCTGTGATATCCTTCCACCATGTAGGTCCTCACACCTGTGTGATATCCCTCAACCATGTAGGTCCTCACGCCTGTGTGATATCTCTCCACCATGTAGTCCTCACACCTCTGTGATATCTCTCCACCATGTAGTCCTCACACCTCTGTGATATCCTTCCACCTTAAGGTCCTCACACCTCTGTGATATCACTCCACCATGTAGTCTTCACATCTGTGTGATATCACTCCACCATGTAGTCCTGACATCTGTGTGATATCCTTCCACCATGTAGTCCTCACACCTCTGTGATATCCCTGCACCATTTACGTCCTCACCCCTCTGTGATATCCTTCCACCATGTAGTCCTCACACCTCTGTGATATCCCACCACCATGTAGTCCTCACCCCTCTGTGATATCACTCCACCATGTAGTCCTCACGCCTCTCTGATATCACTCTACCATGTAGTCCTCACATCTCTGCGATATCCTTCCACCATGTAGTCACACCTATATGATATCCTTCCACCATGTAGTCCTCACCCCTCTGTGATATCCTTCAACCATGTAGTCCTCACACCTCTGTGATATCACTCCACCATGTAGTCCTCACACCTCTGTGATATCACTCCACCATGTAGTCCTCACATCTCTGTGATATCCTTCCACCATGTAGTCCTCACACCTCTATGATATCCTTCCACCATGTAGTCCTCACATCTCTATGATATCCTTCCACCATGTAGGACTAAAGCTTCTTTGATATCCATCCACAATGTAGGTTGTCATGGGAGGAGATATATCATTTCACTTCATGATAGCCTCTGGATCCAGGATTGATGTAATTAAGCAGGGTATACAGGAAGTACACAATAACTACATCAGTGTACATGTGTCTGTCAAACCGTGGTGAACAAGACACGGCAGTTCCTGTGAAGCAGTGTACAATACCAGAAACCATTTCAGCTAAACTTCTTTCTGTGTCAGAGTGACTCAGATGACATCAGAACATGAGCTGCAGCTGGAAACCGCCAATGAGAGAGCCGTGAACGCCCGCAAACAGGCCACGTCCCTGCAGAATCAGCTCCAACTCCTTCAGTGAGTCCTGTACTCTGATGTTTGTTCCTGATTAGATTTGTGTCTGATGGGGGGAATTGTTCATGTCTGATGAAAAGATGTTTGTCTAAAAAGGCAAGATGTTTGCATTTAATGAAGAGATGTTTGTGTGACATGTTTGTGCGAGTGTGACATGTTTGTGCGAGTGTGACATGTTTGTGCCTTATGGAGAGATGTTTATGAGTGTGAGATGTTTGTGCCTTATGGAGAGATGTTTGTATGCTGCTGCAGGAGCCAGTATGACCAGCAGATTAAGCTGAAGGATGACCTGATCACGGATCTTGAGACGAAGGTGCGGCAGCTGAAAGAGGAACATGCTGACGACCGAACCAAGTGGCAGGAAAGGGTAACTGTGCAGAGCAACTAAATCATGCAGTCCAATGTTTGTTTCACCCTTGCACCCTTCTGGTAGTATTCAGTGTCTTCTTAACTCCAACATATAGGATCAATAAATTAATGTAGGGACATAAAAGCGGTGACTGACATGATCTGAAATGTGTTCTAAAGAGACAAGTCTTACAGCTGTTAATACTATTTTGATACGACACGTGAAGATCGGGGTGAGAATTGGTCTTCAGTAACCCACGCTTGTTGTAAGGGGCAACTAACAGGATCAGATGGTCAGCCTCGCTGACTTGGTTGACACATGTCATTGTATCCCAATTGCATAGAATAATGTGCTTGCTGTTGATCACTGGATTGTGTGGTCCAGACTTGATTATTTACAGACCGCTGCCATATAGCTGGAATATTGCTGAGTGTGGTGTTAAACAACAATCAATCAGTTATTTTAATACAGTTGAAGGTATAGCATCATGAGGCGGGTGGACTGTGAAGTTGCTGATGTCTTATCCATAATGAAAATGACTGTATTACATATTTATCACTTACACTACGACTCCGTCCTTTGTCCCATTATTTCACTGCAGAATCCATAGTAAGAAATTCTGGAAATAACAGATGATACTTTTTGGTAATTAAGCTATTGAGATTACGAAATGGGAAAGACACTGGCTTTTATGTTTTTGACCCCATAAACTCAATATATATGGATTCAATTCTTACGTACATTGATCGTTCAACAATAGGAACTTTTCTCCATAAATCAGTAACTCACAAAAATATTTAGACAACGATATAAAATCAGTGATATCGTTCAGTGTAATCGTGAAACATGTGTATCTTTATTATCAGCTAATCAGAACACAGGTGTCCTCCATCGGCCCTGGTTTGTTCTTGGTTCCTGAAAGCAAAGATTCCAACCGAACCATCTGGCAACCGAACCATCTGGAATCACTTGCAATTAATTTCATCTAGTCTGGTGTCCTGTAGACACAAATCTGGAACAGTGTCACAGTAATGCACAAGAAATGTCCACTCTTACTGCTTGCTCATACTGGTGACTGTGATTTACATTAGGTCAACAATTGAAGAAACAAGTTTTTGCAATAATCTTATGATGAGAATAGAATAGGTATGATAATAGGTATTTGAGCGTATTTAGTGGTAACGTGTGTTCCAACAGAGAGACACCCTGGAGACCAGCATGGACAAAGTGCAAAGAGACATGAGTTTGATGAGAGCTGACAGAGAGGATTCTGTCAGGAAATGCGGTGCCATGGAAACGCATATACATGACTTCCAGGTAATATATATAGTTATATAGTATGTTACCCATGTGTATTATAGAGATCAAGTTAGAGGGGATAGCATTAGAACCTGGGATTTTAATTACTTTGTGGGTTATGACCAGGTTTGTGAAACATAAAAAATTACATCATGTTTGACGTTAATTCTCTTGTGAAATTGTCTCCTGAAATTTGTTAGACTTTCACCAGTATATGTATAAAATTGATTAATGTAAAAATCCAGGAAGTTGGAGACAAACCTATGTTGTCATCTCATGCCTGTGACTGTTAGGCATTGCATCAAGTTTCTACTATAGATGAAGTCACTGCACAACTCTCACTGTCATGTTTGGGAGGGTTCTTATGACATTATCAAAGTCTGTGGTCAAATCTGTGCAGCCTAGAATCATGTGAAATCATACTTGATAAGTAGTGCATATGTACATCTGTTTAGCTATGGCATCACTGCATAGCAAAGTATGATGTTATTGATGGAATGTTGCTGCTCATTGAGCAGATTACCTGAACACAAGCAGTTGCTCCATTTTGTTAAGCCTTTAGCACACACAGAAATAAATATTATTAGACATATGAAAATATGTGGTTAAGATATTTTTAGTTTTTATCACATTTCAAGTCGGTTAACACAATAGGTGATTTCTCTATGTATCTGTACAAGTGTGGAAGGGCATGATTGTAACCAACTAAGCATGATTGTAAACAACTAAGCGTGATTGTAACCAACTAAGCTTGATTGTAAACAAGTGCACCTACATGTATATGGGCTGTGTGCCGGCAGGGCTGTGTGTCCAGACTGGAGGCGGAGCTGGGGATGGAGCGTGTCTGCATTAAGAAGCAGCTGGAGCGTGAGGAGGAGCTGAGGAGCAAGCTGCTGGTGACAGAGAACTCGCTGACCAGCAGGCAGCAGGACGTGGAGAGGCTGGAGAAGATGCTGGATGTGGTCAAACAGGAGTGTTCTTCACAGCTGCAGGATCGGGTGAGGTCTGCAGATGTTTGTTTGGATCAGGAGTCGGAACATCCCTGGCTTGCCCCACAGCTAACTATAGGGAGGGTCAAATCAATGATCGTGTGCTGTCAGACGTCTTCTGAAAATATCTTTCTGCTCTGAAATAATCTGCTGAATCCATGAGTGTAGATGTTTTGTAACAATTGTTTGTGTAGTTTGATGAACTTAATCGAACACAAAATCCACTCAAAATAGTGAGTATAGTGTTACACTGTTTTAGCAATATTCCTCCAATATCATGGTTATAGATACTAGAAATGGGGGTCTTCATTGTGACAAGTACATACTTTAATTACAAAACTTCTTCACATCCCCACTTAAGTTAAGTATGTGGGACTGATAATATGATCCAGACTTCATGGTTTACAGACTGCCATCTTCTTACCTTGTTCCTTGACAATTATCTTCAGGTGTCGACAGCGGAGAAGACTGAACGAGAGCGCAGTAATGACCACATCCGGAGCCTGATGGCGCAGCTGACCAGCCAGACAGAGAAGTGCAGCAAGGTGACCGTGGAACTAGAGGTAGCCAAGTCTGAAATGGCCACCTTCAAAGAGCAGGTGAAGGAACTTACCGAGAAACTCGAGTCTGCTCGAATCCAACTTGACTCTGCTATGAGTGAAAAAAGACATCTATCTGAACTGGTCAGTGACAGGAAGGGAGATGTGGAGCGAGTGTCAAAGGAAAAAAGACTATTATTTCAGTCTCCTGGAACAGAAGAATGAGGAGCTTGCACAGCTTAAGGCAACCAAAGAAAAACTTCTAATGCAGGTGGATGAGAAGGAGAGAAATGTTTTGGCTTTGAAGCAGCAGTCAGACAATATATCCCAGCTAGTGGAAGCCAATTCTAAAACCAGTGAAAATATTCGTGAGGAGAAAGAAAGGATTATATATTTGTTAAATGAAAAGTCGGCAGCAGTCGATGAATTGAGGACGGGGCAGGACAGCATGGGGAAGAAACTGCGATTGAAGGAAAAGCGTATACGAGAGTTGGAGGAGGAGAGGATGAGGCTGACAGAGGACTTGGCTCTCAAGGTGCAGGAGATGGACATCATGCATCAGGAGAAAGACAACCTGTTCAAGGAACTTAAAGACAGTCGGCTAGAAGTCGCCAATATTACCCAGGCTAAAGACATGATTAAGAAGGAGCTATCGAAGCTGAGGTCAAGTTATGAGAAGGAAATTAGTAAACTGCAATCAAGGTTAAAAGGTAATCAAGATGCTTAGTGGCGTATTGCGTCCTCACAGAGGACTAGTAGAAAGTTCTCAAAGGTTGTAGCTTGTCCTGCTTGAACGAGACAAGTCAGTTTTTTCATTTCCAATTTGTAGCACACATGAAGCACTGAGTACTGGCTCAGAATTTCTACCCTTTATCATGTTTATATACCGGTACTACAAGTAGTGAGGACGACCATCAGTTGACTTTCACTTGTCCTCAGCACAATCTGCTTGTCTCGGTCCAGTGGACTAGCACATATTTCAAATACTGTGCTACCATGAACATGTAGCAGGATATCTGTTGTGCAGCAAAACCTTGACTGAAGGGCAGGACTCTTAGGTTATGTTGCAGAAATTTTGAATGTCTTTAAATTAAATCCCAGATGTTACTTGGATGAAGTAAGGGGTTGATATAGTTTGACCTTTTTACAGGTTTGGTTTTGTGATTAAAATGTTTTGTATAATTGTGTTGCTTGGCAGTGACAGAAGTTGTTTAAGTAAGATGCTGATGTATGCTGACGTACCTCTGTATCTTTGTGTTGGTCAGTGCCTGTAGCAGGACTAATAACAGTCGATGTCAATGGTTACAGGAGCAGAACATGATGTGAAGTTAGCCCAGAAGACTCTGAAAAGTAAAGACTCTGTAGATAACAAAGGTGGGTGGAGGCGATATCATTATCCTCATCAGCACTGTAACCATGGTAACAATATACTGAGTTTTCAGCCACCAGTCCTAGTCCTACTTCTCACGTTTATTGGGTCATGAATGCTAGGGAACCTGTTGAGTCTCTGTCTACTGTCTTGTCTTGTGTGAAGAATATGCATACAATTAAGGTTATCCTGGTTTATTGCTCTCTGGGAGGTTGCTTTTTTTTCTTACATATTCACTTTAGAATGCCAACTAAGCAGATATTTTCATTTTTATGTTTGCATCTAAAGGGCACGTTTCAGCAGTGCTAGCTCAGTGACTTTTAAAACTTTCCAAAGATGTCATATTATTTCAACTTCAAAACATTACTGTTATTATTCACTATTACATCAGGCAAACTTAAGATAACGCTTTTCCAATTTAAACATTGATTGTGAGCAGGAGGTTAATTTTCTGCAGGGTATTAGAAAATGTAAGGCATGTAATTCTGATTATATGGAATATGTACACCATTGTTTTCTGATATATTCAGCTTACCTTTGTTTTCCTGAGACAAACATGCCGCAAATCTAAATGTTGTATACATATATAATATAATGATTAGATGTATTTCTTTAAATGTCCACCTATTATGTTTAGCATGCATGCAATTGACTCTCAGTTACACTTTGACATATGTATGTCCAGAAAGGCCTGTCCTGTACTCACTGTAATACATGATGACATGTTGCTGTAACCCAGGACTGCATGCTTCTGTGACCAGGATAACTGGTGTTATACTTCTGCGTATTGCTGTAACCCAGGACTGCATGCTACTGTGACCATGATAACTGGTGTTATACTGCTGGTGTTAACCTGCGTGTGCTGTACTGCATGCTACTGTGACCATGATAACTGGTGTTATACTTCTGCGTATTGCTGTAACCCAGGACTGCATGCTACTGTGACCATGGTAACTGGTGTTATACTTCTGCGTATTGCTGTAACCCAGGACTGCATGCTACTGTGACCATGGTAACTGGTGTTATACTTCTGCGTATTGCTGTAACCATTGTAACGTTATAATTCCCAGCTGTGAAGTATGCTGACAAGATGCAGAAGGAGATCACCAACAAGAGAGGAGAACTTGATTCATTATTGTCAAAAGTCAGGAAGTTTGAAGACAAACTGGAAACATTAGCTAAGGTATATATTTCTGTAACCTCAGTTTTATACTTAAAGTTTGTTCAGGATCACCCTTTTCAAAGGAAATATGTCGGAGTGTGTGCATCTGTTGAAATAGCCAAAGACAGTATTGCGTGGAGACATGTTTTAAGAACAAACGTTTATTTTCATATGCAACAAAATGACAGCGATCATGTGTGAGATGATCCTGGAAAATGAGAGTATCTAACCAAGGCTGAAATGTCTAAAATATTGACAATTTAATTGTCCAAAAATGACAACTGTCATAAGCGCATATGTGGTTCACATGATGCGATCATTATCTGGCACCATTCCCTACTGGCAAACAAGGATAAGTTGAGCACCTACCGGACAATTGACCCATATTAGCATGTATGAGTGCTGCCCATTGGCATTGCAATTGTTAGCGAAGGGGCCCCAGGTTGTCCACGATCAAGTGCGACTTGCTACACCGACATGAGAGTCTTATGAGTCTTATGCACTACATCTGCTCTACCTTTCACAAGCCAAATGGGTTTGCTCATTGTCGTGCACCGCCTACTTCTTGTAAACTCATTCTCTGCGCTGGTCCAACTTATCCGTGTTTGTCAGTAGTTCCTGCAGAGTTGCTAGGACAGGCAATCATGGGAAAGCAATCAGCAACTTGTTCCACATTTGTAGCAAACGTTTCGGAGACCGCACTCCCCATGCACGATGGTAAGGTGTATTCACTCCCTGTGTAGTGTGTGTACCTGTGTAAGGTGTATTCAGTCCATGTGTAGTGTGTGTACCTGTGTAAGGTGTATTCAGTCCTTGTGAAGTGTGTGTACCTGTGTAAGGTGTATTCAGTCCCTGTGTAGTGTGTGTACCTGTGTAAGGTGTATTCAGTCCCTATGTGTGTGTACTTGTGTAAGGTGTATTCAGTCCCTGTGAAGTGTGTGTACCTGTGTAAGGTGTATTCAGTCCTGTGGCGGGTAGTGTGTGCCTGTGTAATTCAGTCCCTGTGTGTGTGTACCTGTGTAGGCGTGTATTCAGTCCTGTGTAGTGTGTGTACCTGTGTAAAGTTGTATTCGGTCCCTGTGAAGTGTGTACCTGTGTAGGTGTATCCACTCCCGTGTAGTGTGTGTGTACCTGTGTAAGGTGTATTCAGTCCCTATTTAGTGTGTGTACCTGTGTAAGGTGTATTCAGTCCTGTGTAGTAGTGTGTGTACCTGTGTAAAGGTGTATTCAGTCCCTGTGTAGTGTGTGTACCCATGTAAGGTGTATTCAGTCCCTGTAAAGTGTGTGTACCTGTGTAAGGTGTATTCAGTCCCTGTGTAGTGTGTGTACCTGCGTAAGTTGTATTCAGTCCCTGTGAAGTGTGTGTACCTGTGTAAGGTGTATTCAGTCCCTGTGAAGTGTGTGTACCTGTGTAAGGTGTATCCACTCCCTGTAAAGTGTGTGTACCTGTGTAAGGTGTATTCAGTCCCTGTGTAGTGTGTGTACCTGCATAAGTTGTATTCAGTCCCTGTGAAGTGTGTGTACCTGTGTAAGGTGTATCCACTCCCTGTGTAGTGTGTGTACCTGTGTAAGGTGTATTCAGTCCCTGTTTAGTGTGTGTACCTGTGTAAGGTGTATTCAGTCCATGTGTAGTGTGTGTACCTGTGTAAGGTGTATTCAGTCCCTGTGTAGTGTGTGTACTTGTGTAAGGGTGTATTCAGTCCCTGTGTGGTGTGTGTGTACCTGTGTAAGGTGTATTCAGTCCCTGTGTAGTGTGTGTACCTGTGTAAGGTGTATTCAGTCCTGTGTAGTGTGTGTACCTGTGTAAGGTGTATCCAGTCCCTGTGAGTGTGTGTGTACCTGTGTAAGGTGTATTCAGTCCCTGTGAAGTGTGTGTACTTGTGTAAGGTGTATTCAGTCCCTGTTTAGTGTGTGTGTACCTGTGTAAGGTGTATTCAGTCCCTGTGTAAGTGTGTGTACCTGTGTAAGGTGTATCCACTCCTGTGTAGTGTGTGTACCTGTGTAAAGGTGTATTCAGTCCCTGTGTGTGTGTGTACCTGTGTAAGGTGTATTCAGTCCATGTAAGATGTATTGTCACCTGTGTAAAGGTGTATTCAGTCCCTGTGTAGTGTGTGTACTTGTGTAAGGTGTGTTCAGTCCCTGTGTAGTGTGTGTACCTGTGTGAAGTTGTATTCAGTCCTGTGTAGTGTGTGTGTACCTGTGTAAGGTGTATTCAGTCCTGTGAAGTGTGTGTACCTAATGTAAGGTGTATCCACTCCTGTAAAAGTGTGTGTACCTGTGTAAAGGTGTATTCAGTCCCTGTGTGGTGTGTGTACCTGCATAAGATTGTATTCAGTCCCTGTGAAGTGTGTGTACCTGTGTGGGTGTATCCACTCCCTGTGTGTGTGTGTGTACTTGTGTAAGGTGTATTCAGTCCTGTGTTTTAGTGTGTGTGCCTGTGTAAGGTGTATTCAGTCCTGTTTAGTGTGTGTACCTGTGTAAGGTGTATTCAGTCCTGTGTAGTGTGTGTGCCTGTGTAAGGTGTATTCAGTCCTGTGTGTGTGTGTGTGTGTGTAAAGGTGTATTCAGTCCTGTGTAGTGTGTAGGATGTATTCAGTCCCTGTTTAGTGTGTGTACCTGTGTAAGGTGTATTCAGTCCATGTGTAGTGTGTGTACCTGTGTAAGGTGTATCCACTCCCTGTGTAGTGTGTGTACCTGTGTAAGGTGTATTCAGTCCTGTTTAGTGTGTGTACCTGTGTAAGGTGTATTCAGTCCATGTGTAGTGTGTGTGTACCTATGTAAGGTGTATCCACTCCTGTGTAGTGTGTGTACTTGTGTAAGGTGTATTCAGTCCCTGTGAATGTGTGTGTACCTGTGTAAGGTGTATCCACTCCCTGTGTGTGTGTGTGTACCTGTGTAAGGTGTTTATTCAGTCCCTGTGTAGTGTGTTGTACCTGTGTAAGTTGTATTCAGTCCCTGTGAAGTGTGTGTACCTGTGGAAGGTGTATCCACTCCCTGTAAAGTGTGTGTAAACCTGTGTAAGGTGTATCCACTCGCTGTGTAGTGTGTGTACCTGTGTAAGGTGTATCCACTCCTGTGTAGTGTGTGTACTTGTGTAAGGTGTATTCAGTCCCTGTTTAGTGTGTGTGTACCTGTGTAAGGTGTATTCAGTCCATGTGTAGTGTGTGTACCTGTGTAGGCTGTATCCACTCCTGTGTGAGTGTGTGTACCTGTGTAAGGGTGTATTCAGTCCCTGTTTAGTGTGTGTGTACCTGTGTAAGGTGTATTCAGTCCTTGTGAACTGTGTGTACCTGTGTGGTGTGTATCCACTCCCTGTGTGTGTGTGTGTACCTGTGTAAAGGTGTATTCAGTCCCTGTGTGTGTGTGTGTACCTGTGTAAGGTGTATTCAGTCCCTGTGTAGTGTGTGTACCTGTGTAAGGTGTATCCAGTCCCTGTGAAAGTGTGTGTACCTGTGTAAGGTGTATCCACTCCTGTGTGGTGTGTTATTACCTGTGTAAGGTGTATCCACTCCCTGTGTAGTGTGTGTACTTGTGTAAGGTGTATTCAGTCCCTGTTTAGTGTGTGTACCTGTGTAAGGTGTATTCAGTCCATGTGTGTGTGTGTGTACCTGTGTGGCTGTATTCAGTCCCTGTGAGTGTGTGTGTACCTGTGTAAGGTGTATTCAGTCCCTGTTTAGTGTGTGTGTACCTGTGTAAAGGTGTATTCAGTCCTGTGTGGTGTGTGTACCTGTGTAAGGTGTATCCAGTCCCTGTGTAGTGTGTGTGTACCTGTGGAAGGTGTATTCAGTCCTGTTTAGTGTGTGTACCTGTGTAAGGTGTATTCAGTCCTGTGTAGTGTGTGTACCTGTGTAAGGTGTATTCAGTCCCTGTGAAGTGTGTGTACCTGTGTAAGGGTGTATCCACTCCTGTAAAGTGTGTGTACCTGTGTAAGGTGTATCCACCTCCTGTGTAGTGTGTGTACCTGTGTAAGGTGTATCCAGCTCCTATGTAGTGTGTGTGTACCTGTGTAAGTTGTATTCAGTCCCTGTGTAGTGTGTGTGTACCTGTGTAAGGTGTATTCAGTCCCTGTGTAGTGTGTTGTACCTGTGTAAGGTGTATTCAGTCCTGTGTGAAGTGTGTGTACCTGTGTCAAGGTGTATTCAGTCCATAAAGTGTGTGTACCTGTGTAAGGTGTATTCAGTCCCTCTGAAGTGTGTGTACCTGTGTAAGGTGTATTCAGTCCCTGTGAAGTGTGTGTACCTGTGTAAGGTGTATTCAGTCCCTGTGAAGTGTGTGTACCTGTGTAAGGTGTATTCAGTCCTGTGGTGTATGTACCTGTGTAAGGTGTATCCACTCCCTGTGTAGTGTGTGTACCTGTGTAAGGTGTATTCAGTCCCTGTTTAGTGTGTGTACCTGTGTAAGGTGTATTCAGTCCATGTGTAGTGTGTGTACCTATGTAAGGTGTATCCACTCCCTGTGTAGTGTGTGTACCTGTGTAAGGTGTATTCAGTCCCTGTGTGTAAGTACCTGTGTAAGGTGTATCCAGTCCTGTGTGTGTGTGTGTACCTGTGTAAGGTTGGTATTCAGTCCCTGTGTAGTGTGTGTACCTGTGTAAGGTGTATTCAGTCCCTGTCTAGTGTGTGTACCTGTGTAAGGTGTATCCAGTCCCTGTGTAGTGTGTGTACTTGTGTAAGGTGTATTCAGTCCCTGTGAAGTGTGTGTACCTGTGTAAGGTGTATCCACTCCCTGTGTAGTGTGTGTACCTGTGTAAGGTGTATTCAGTCCCTGTTTAGTGTGTGTACCTGTGTAAGGTGTATTCAGTCCCTGTTTAGTGTGTGTACCTGTGTAAGGTGTATTCAGTCCCTGTGTAGTGTGTGTACCTGTGTAAGGTGTATTCAGTCCCTGTGAAGTGTGTGTACCTATGTAAGGTGTATCCACTCCCTGTAAAGTGTGTGTACCTGTGTAAGGTGTATTCAGTCCCTGTGTAGTGTGTGTACCTGTGTAAGTTGTATTCAGTCCCTGTGAAGTGTGTGTACCTGTGTAAGGTGTATCCACTCCCTGTGTAGTGTGTGTACCTGTGTAAGGTGTATCCACTCCCTGTGTAGTGTGTGTACCTGTGTAAGGTGTATCCAGTCCCTGTGTAGTGTGTGTACCTGTGTAAGGTGTATTCAGTCCCTGTTTGTGTGTGTGTACCTGTGTAAAGGTGTATTCAGTCCCTGTGTAGTGTGTGTGTGTACCTGTGTAAGTTGTATTCAGTCCCTGTGAAGTGTGTGTACCCATGTAAGGTGTGTGTGTATCCACTCCCTGTAAAGTGTGTGTAAGTACACCTGTGTAAGGTGTATCCAGTCCTGTGTGTGTGTGTACCTGTGTAAGGTGTATCCAGCTCCTGTGAGTGTGTGTACCTGTGTAAGGTGTATTCAGTCCCTGTGTAGTGTGTGTACCTGTGTAAGGTGTATTCAGTCCCTGTGTAGTGTGTGTACCTGTGTAAGGTGTATTCAGTCCCTGTGTAGTGTGTGTACCTGTGTAAGGTGTATTCAGTCCCTGTGTAGTGTGTGTACCTGTGTAAGGTGTATTCAGTCCCTGTGAAGTGTGTGTACCTGTGTAAGGTGTATTCAGTCCCTGTGAAGTGTGTACCTGTGTAAGGTGTATTCAGTCCCTGTGTAGTGTGTGTACCTGTGTAAGGTGTATTCAGTCCCTGTGTAGTGTGTGTACCTGTGTAAGGTGTATTCAGTCCCTGTGAAGTGTGTGTACTACCTGTGTAAGTGTATTCAGTCCCTGTGAAGTGTGTGTCTACTCATGTGAAGTGTACCCTGTGTAAGGTGTATTCAGTCCCTGTGTAGTGTGTGTACCATGTAAGGTGTATTCAGTCCTGTGAAGTGTGTGTACCTCAAGTGTGTCTACCTGTGTAGTGTATTCACTCCCTGTGTACCATGTAAGGTGTATTCAGTCCCTGTGAAGTGTGTCTACTCATGTAAGGTGTATTCAGTCCCTGTGTAGTGTGTCTGTGTAAGGTGTATTCAGTTCTGTGAAGTGTGTCTACTCATGTAAGGTGTATTCAGTCCCTGTGAAGTGGGTGTACTGTTATAGTGACCAATTCAGGACAGCCATCGTCCAAATATATAAAAAGTCCAAAACCTATGTAGTCCAGATATGTGAGACTTAATTTGTCAACGCATGGCATATGGTACTGGACTCGACTGGGGATTTAGCTCGGAATTAAGACGCAGTATATGTTGACAATATGTTGACAAGACTCAAAATTCGTTGAGCTCACAACCAAATACATAAGTATAAAGGTGAGCAGAGTTCATGCTCATCCCCAGGGCGTTTCCTAGGAGCGGCATTATCCTGCTCGTGGTCGTCCCAACACACAGACAGTCGGCATCCCGGACTCGTACCCTTCACCGTCTAGATGTGAGCATACTAAGTATATATGTACAGTTTTGGACAACAATGGACAGGCAACGACTCATCAATGGATTGACAGAAAGAACAATAGCACATCCTTGACCAGTTGATGTGATGGCAGACACGGCCAAGGGGGGGGATTACCAATGAAGGTTATAAATGTCTTATACAATAATTAATGGGATGACAAGTCAATGTACAATGCGGTAGTGATAAGGATGTACAGTAGTGATTAAGAATACAGGTTAGCGTCATATCAATTATTACAATAAAGTCTCACATATCTGGACTACATAGGTTTTGGACTTTTTAAATATTTGGATGATGGCTGTTCTGAATTAGTCACTATAACAGTACCTGTGTAAGGTGTATCGACTGTATCTCTTTGCAGGAGAAGCTGGTGGTAGAGAAGGACAAGGAGAGTCTGAAGAAGTCTCTCAGCAAGTCCATGCAGCACACCCAGGAGCTGGCGGAGCAGCTGGAGGCCAGTGCTGCCAAGAACCACGATCTGAGAGAGCGCATGGCTCTCATGGAGGCCAAGCTGGAGAAGGTAAGTCATTTCTCATTGCGAGGTGTGTCTGTGTATATATCTTACTAGCTGTCTTCACCAATATGCTGGTAGGACCAGTTACAGTTGTATAGGCAATGTATGCAGATAAGTTTAAACTTAGATAAGGCTGTCTGTCTGTGGAGCTTCTGTAAGCAGCCTGCACGTGGAGCTTCTCTAAACAATCTGCAAATGGAGCTAATTATGTTACACCATATTTGACTACATCTGCTCAATAGCTAATTACATATAACCATGTTTGACAACTTCAGCTCAGTAGCTAATTATATATATCCATGTTTGACAACTTCAGGCTGGTCTGAAGACGGCAACAGCACAGGCCAAGATGGAGCAGTTTGAACAAGACATTGCCAGACTCAAGATCAACCACCAGCTGGATCTCAAGGTCAGACAGTCACATTTGCATCACACACAGCATGTTTACTATCACACACAACATGTTTACTATTACACACATGTTTACTATCACACACATGTTTACTATCACACACCACGTTTATGATTACTCATGTTTACTATCACACACCATGTTTACTATCGCACACATGTTTACTATCACACACACCACGTTTATGATTACTCATGTTTACTATCTTTAGGATGTTTACTATCACACACAATGTTTACTATCACACAATGTTTACTATCACACACAATGTTTACTATCACACAGTGTTTACTATCACACACAGTGTTTACTGTCTCACACACAATGTTTACTATCACACAGTGTTTACTATCACACACATTGTTTACTGTCACACACGATGTTTACTATCACACACACAATGTTTACTATCACACACAATGTTTACTGTCGCACACACAATGTTTACTATCACTCACCATGTTTACTATCACACACAATGTTTACTATCACACACAATGTTTACTATCACACAGGATGTTTACTATCACACACATGATGTTTACTATTACATACATGTTTACTATCACACATGTTTACTATCACACACACAATGTTTACTATCACAAATGTTTACTATCACACAAAATGTTTACTATCACACACAGGATGTTTACTATCACAAACAATGTTTACTATCACACCATGTTTACAATCACACACAGGATGTTTACTATCACACAATGTTTACTATCACAAATGGCATGTTTACTATCACACAGCATGTTTACTATCACAGACAATGTTTACTATCACACAGCATGTTTACTATCACAGACAGTATGTTTACTATCACACACCATGTTTACTATCACAGACAGTATGTTTACTATCACACACCATGTTTACTATCACAGACAGTATGTTTACTATCACACACCATGTTTACAATCACACACAGGATGTTTACTATCACACAATGTTTACTATCACAAATGACATGTTTACTATCACACAGGATGTTTACTATCACAGACAATGTTTACAATCGCACACAGGATGTTTACTATCACACAGTGTTTACTATCACAAATGGCATGTTTACTATCACACAGCATGTTTACTATCACAGACAATGTTTACTATCACACAGCATGTTTACTATCACACAATGTTTACTATCACAAATGGCATGTTTACTATCACACAGCATGTTTACTATCACAGACAATGTTTACTATCACACAGCATGTTTACTATCACAGACAATGTTTACTATCACACAGCATGTTTACTATCACAGACAGTATGTTTACTATCACACACCATGTTTACTATCACAGACAGTATGTTTACTGTCACACACCATGTTTACTATCACAGAAAGTATGTCTACTATCACACACCATGTTTACTATCACACACAGGATGTTTACTATCACAGACAGTATGTTTACTATCACACACAGGATGTTTACTATCACACACAGCATGTTTACTATCATAGACAGTATGTTTACTGTCACACATTTACTATCATGCACAGCATGTTTACTACTGCATGCATTACCTGACTAGGTTCTACTATATGTTTACAGGAGGCTGAGCAAGTAATAACTGGCAAGACGCCCTACTCTGCCATACCCCCTACAGGTCGATCCAGTAGAACACATACCCCTGCGTCCCGGAAGGGGAGGGAGTCCGGCGGTTTCACCTACCCCCACAAGCCAGCAACCAGCATTCAAGCACAGGAACCAAAGGTAATGCTGGCAGACATCACATCAGTGGTGACAGTGGTGCTCCTCTATATCTAGAACTGTATGTGGCTTACCATCTACGGTTGTACTGTCAAATCACTTCTCAGCTCAAAGCATATCGTTCCTGAAGGGGTGTCATTAAACTAATTCTTGACCAATGACTTAGTTTTCACAGACTGATTTCAAACACTAGTCACAAGCATAAATCTGGAATCTTAACCAAGAGCAGTCATTACTGACAATATTCATCGCTGGATTATCTAATCCAGACTTCATTATTTACAGAAGCCTACCAAGGTGGAACTTAAAGAAGAACGTGAGACAATTGCAATAATTTGCTGGGTGAAAGATAAAGTCATCAGAAACATGTACTCCAATTTTTTTTCAAACATACGGGTATTTATGCTTTAGTCGTGAAAACAGTTTCTGTTATCTGAGCTTCAGCCATTATGCATATTCCGTTGGAACTCACGTGACCTTTCCGCTTGTGACGTCATATGTGACTAGAGCCGGCCATATTGCCAAAGACCAAGCGCTACAGTAATACAAATCGTGTAGTTTCTGTCGTTTTTGTTTTGTAAATTCTACGGTGGTGGTGTATTGCGTTGCCTGCATCATCTAACAATGGAAAGAGCCACCATTTCTTCCGACATGATTTAGGCAGGATAAATGTTCCAATTGAACGGATTTCTGGTCAAATTGCCCCAGGGTGGTGTTCAAAAGGATTTGTTTAAAATGATATGCCATACATGCATAGTTTTTGTCAACTTTGATGTTATGTTTTGCATATATAATTTATATATATAGTTATGAGTTTACTAATGGAACATTTATCAGAAATATTTCTTCCTAATAACCTTTAAATGAAGAATATAATATCAAAGATGACAAAAACTATGCATTTATGGTATATATTTACTCATTTTAAATACATTTGACCAAATTAGGATCAATGACAAAATTTGCTTGGGCATTTTGTAGCTGGGGCAGTTCGACTGATACCCATGAGCTATATATTATCAAAATCAGTAAGAGATTTCACATAAGCTTGAAAATGTTTCGCTGTATAACGTTCGTCCCGGCTTTGAGCCCTAAATGCTGCAGTCAACCCGACAAATTGCCGATTACATCGGCAAATCATGAAGTACTTGTTACATTCATTGTTTTCTATTTTGTCCAATTACGCACGTCGGCATCAGACTCGCAATTTGTCAGTTGTGTGTGCCAAGAAAGTTGTTCTGTATGTTATTCTAAGGTTATGACCGAGCACATAACTATTTACATAAGAAAAAACTAGGGAATATACATTGTCCTGACTTGTATATTATGATTCACCAGTTTTCGAGGAATAACTTATCTGCGTTATATTATCTCTACTCAAAATGGCTGGGATCTTCTATGGAAACTTAATACGTTATTAATGAGAACTAGGATCCTAATATTTTTCAACAAAATAATTCCAGAGTAATTTTTGCAGCAGATAATTTCTATTTTCCCCCGTCTGAAGCATAATCATTTAAAAAAAAAAAATCCCAGACACCCTGCAGTCACCCATTTGACACAAAAGGAACTGCAAACACATTTTATAAAAATATTTTTAGGCACTAGTCATTTATTTATAGGGGTGGGTGTGATTGTTGGACTGTATCACATTTTGCTGACAAATAATATTCCTGGTAATTTATATGGCCTATTTTTTATATTACTTTAACATCAAGCGGTGCCTCCATTTCACTTGATTCTTCTTCATCTTCACTGGAAGATTATCTTGCAAGATGTAAAATTGGATCGTATTGATACGGTCTAACATCCATTTCAGAAATGACATCAGAACATCTTTTATTGCTTTAGAATCAAAAGACACTATTCAGTTGTGAGGTAAAATCAAGGAGAAAGCCATCAGCAACAGGCACATATGACGTCATGTCATGTGATACCCTCTCTGCTCATTAACTGTGGGGTGTTTCCGTAGTAGGCGGAAATACAAGTACATTTTTTGCATGTTTATTGTGAGTTTACAAACTTTTTGTTCAAGTTTAATCACGGAAGGTGACTTTTAGAATGCCTTTTCCCCTATGACAAGTTTTATTTTCGTTAGTATTCTCCTTTAATGTAAAAAGTGTTCCTGCTGAAACCCAAGTAAATTGCTTGTTAAACGAAGACATATTTGAAATCTATTTAAATGACTGAGTTACGATTCTCTTTGACAACCCACATTCCCAGGAACCCACTGAGAACTATGCTGTAGTGGGCCAGGAGTTGAAGGATCTGCTGAAGGAGATGAGGTCGTTGATTGCTGGACAAAGGGAGGTAACTCAGAAGTCAAACCTGCATCCTTCAGTGTACCATTCCTCACCTGTACAAGCAAGAGATAGAAGGTACATCATTTACCTGTTTCCTTTCCCCACCTTATATACAGCATTGGTCCTTACATCCCCATGTTCAAGATTAGTTCAGGTCCCCAACAACCCATCTTCAGATACCACTCCTTTAACATGTCATGAGGGCCTGGTCTCAGCTCCATGGTGTGGATCACTGATCACTGCCACCCAGTGATATACAGGCTGCAATCAAAATAAACAATAGAAGCAAAGTACATGTATTCAATGATCCTGGGCCTAGATTTTCGAAGCTCTCTTAGCTCTAAGATAGTCGTAAGTGCCATACATTAACATTAACTTATGACTATCTTAGCGCGAAGAGAGCTTCGAAAATCTAGGCCCTGGTATTTACTATTTAGAGAGGAGGTCCCTGCATGTGCTAGTGCCTATTTTAAGTCGTGCAACACAGATGATGCATGACTTTCCTCACCTGCTCATGTCCAACGTCTTTGCTGTATGGTCATGTGCAAGTAGTAAAACTGCAGCTTGACAACAAACTTGGTTACAGTTTGCTTCATGTTCTCTCAGATCTAAGGATTCTGGGTCATCTCCAGACATAGACTCCCTGTCCGACTCTGAGATCGAACCAACCTGGCTCCGGGCAAGGGCAAGGTCAAATATAGACTTTTCAGGGGTGTCATCAGTCCGAGGTAAGATCTTGTCATTTGCTTCGCTTACAGAATTCATGGTATTGATGTTGACAAGCACTGCCATGTGCAACACATTTGGTCTTTAAGTATACTGCTACATCTCCTCAAGTTGTACTGAGTCAGTTAGGACCCCATCCCACAAAGGGGAGTTACTGCTTTGACCATCATATGTATGTAGTATGAGGGAGTATGTGATATTGTCGGTGTGTTGAGCTTGCTTTTTAGCAAGGACTCTAGGTTTAAATTCTGTGCTTCTTGTTGAAAATTGTTAATTTTACAATTTACATGTTTCTACAAAATACTAAACTTCTTTCATCTCTTCATCTATATATTTGGAAAATCAGTTAAAATTGACATTGCTCATCATTTTCACTTCATGAATTTCAGGGATGTTCATTGGTATCTGCACAGATTTCACTTCAAGGTCACATAAGAAAAACTGTTGTTTCAAATTCAGTTTTAATTCATTCCAGAAGTCACCTCGGCCCCACAAACTCCACAGCGTCGTCATCGTAGGAGCTGCTCTGCTGATCTCAGCAGTTCACGGAGTAAACCTCGACAAGACAGTCGGTACGAATCAAGTCGTATATCAGCTGGCAGCTCGCCGGGGCGGTCAGCGTATATCGGTTCTCCTTACAGAAGCAGAGGTAAGCACATTGACTCTGGTCAGCCTGTACAACATCTCCTGGATACAACCAGGATTTCAAACTGTCTACCTTAGTAAATATCATCCCTGACCAGGTCTAGGTAAATATCAGCATGTTGACGTCTCCAACACTCTGCCCTGCCTAGGAAGTGCTTCACATGTGTATAGGGGAGACAGAGTTGCAGTTTGCAGATAATATTGTGCATTATGTGTAAAGGGGATGGTCGGTGAATAGATCCAAATGGCTGTATGTTTGTTGAGGGAATTTACTGGACTCAAATGAGGACTGAGATAAGGATACATTGAATGTTTATGAAGGAGAATAGAAGGTGGGTGGAAGTGCTAGCCTATCTATGTGTCTACCAGTTACTAATTGACCTGTACTGCTTGTACCTAGTTGTATCTCACAATACCTCACAGCTCTGGTTTAAGCCCTTCTTTGATGGTTGTAATAATCATCTGAATTAAAGAAGATGACCTCCATTAAAATCATCTGAATGTTGACTTGATTATTGGCCATTGCGTGACGCTGTCATGAGGGTTGTATCTTCCATATAGGGGATGGTAATGCAGTCTTGTGGTGCAGCTATTAGCTCATATTTGCTCTAACTAGCTTATCTCTATTTCATCATAGCCATACATTCCTGTTTTTGTTTTAGTATCACTGTGAAATATTTAGTTTTGTATACATAGTAGGTGTATATGACCATCTTAGTTGAGACATTTAGTCAACTTCTTCTTTAAACATTTGTTTGTTAATGAGTTACCTCCCTTACACTGATTTCATCCCAATCTGTGAGATTTGATCAACAATAGAAACTCACCTACATTCAGTGGGGTCAAACATTTGCTTATATTTAAGAAAACTGATCTTGTAAGGACTCTACAGTCATATAGTTTGCTCTTTGAATATTCACTTGGTCTTGTAAGTCCAGAAAATGCAAGTGATGAAAGGGACAAAGGGTAATTCCTGTTCACATGAACACAAGATTTCATCATGAACCGCTAATGTGGGCCAGAACATGTATTATGGTTGAGTCTAACTACTAGCACTCTGGACAGAGGAACATGACCAGTTCTGTCTGGGAGTCTTTGACTAATTCATCAGGCAGTGGAGACCATCAAAATGGTGTCCGACTGTTTCAGTGATTTGCTAGGGGAAAATAACCCAAGGCCATTTTCATGATTTTGTCAAGGTTTGACTGGACATTATTCTTCATCATTTTGTTTGAAAACAAATCTGAGGACATTTTGGATGAAGTTCTAAAACCTGCCAACCATACTAATACAATCCTCCCTAAGAAAACCCTTGGATTTGTTCTGGATCTTGAATATGTTTAGATTTTGCAAGGAATGTTATTCATGGTTACTGGACCTTAAAACAAGAACTATGCACCATTATACCATAATCTAGCATTACAAAAACAAGGAACCCGCAAGAGGAAATCCTCACCAGTTGACCACACTCAAGTATGCGGTTTAGGACTGAACTGTGTACATGGTTGTCCTGTGCGAAGGAATTTGATAGGTTTTATTACAGTTGGTTGCAGTTCCAGGGTTTTACACTTCATATTTCTTGATTTCTGATCAGCTCAATATGAATAACGTTCCTATTTCATTGTAAAATGTAAACATATTTAGGATTTAGTGGTGCAATCTGAAGGTTTTCTTTGGTAGATCTGTAATAAGTGCATGTGTTGGAATGTATTATGTGCATGTGTCAGCCTGTATTAAGTGCATGTGTTGAACTGTAATAAGTGCATGTGTTGGACTGTAATAAGTGCATGTGATGGACTGTATTAAGTGCATGTGTCGAGCTGTAATAGTGCATGTGTTGGACTGTAATAAGTGCATGTGTCGGGCTGTAATAAGTGCATGTGTTGGACTGTAATAAGTGCATGTGTTGGACTGTATTAAGTGCATGTTTCGGACTGTAATAAGTGCATGTGTCAGGCTGTATTAAGTGCATGTGTCTGACAGTCAGTGATCCCCTCTGTGTTCCTGCTCACCAGATGGCTCCCTCTCTTGTCATCCATCCTTCTCTGGGTCTGCCAATACCCTTCTTACCTCACTCTGTACCCCGCCCGGTGCACTCCGCCATCAGACACACCCTGCTACTCACCTTGTTGTCTCACCTGTAGACTGCACACCTGTGTCACTTTCACCTAACCCAGATAGAGACATGGACAGCGAAAGCTTTCATCCAGGTAGATGTTGGCAGCTGTGGTATGAACTTGATTGCTGGTGTTTATACCAACATTTGTCTTTCAGAATGAAAAGGCCTTGAGTTTTAGTGTTCCCATTTCAGTGTAAACCTTGTAATTTGTTTTATATATAAAAAACCATTAATACATTATTCATGTAAATGTATTGTTCCTAAATTGTGTCACAAACTTTATTTTTGAGTTCTTGAATTGTTTGTGTGACAAAAGTTGATTCTGTATTTACATTCCTAAGTCCCCATATTTGTCACCATGGTAGCACAAAGAAAAAGTATGACCTGTTTATCTTGTCTGTTCGGTGTGCTATATGTCATCTCAGTGCTTGCCCTTTCCTTTTACCTGCCTCTAAGTTTGGTAGATGCAATCAAGTTCTACCACTAATACATGTAGAATTTGTTCTCTCAGTCTATCTCTTTCTTTCTGTTTTAATGTTCACTACCAAGTTGTTTTTGGAATGATGTGTTCATATTTCTTATTTACTATGATTCGATGCTGTCTTTAAGTGGGATTATAGAAGTATCATTGTTCTAATCAGTGCAACGTAAAGTGCAAATTCACAAACCAAACTGATTGCAGTGGTGAATCTAGTCTGCTGTGATATGTACAACTTATTTCTGTGTGCAGCGTCCATGTCCTCCCTGACCCCAGACACACAGGTGCTGTGTAAGAGACTGGAGGAGAAGATCGAGAACCTCACCAAGATGGGAGGCAACCTGCAGCGTGAAAACAGAGGTAGGTCACACAGTCAACCTGCAGCTCGAACACAGCGGTAGGTCACACAGTCAAACGGTGGCGTGAGACCAGAGGTAGTCCTTGTTGTGTTGGAGACAATCTACAACATGAGACCAGATGTAGTCTTTGTTGTGTTGGAGACAATCTGCAACATAAGACCAGAGGTAGTCCTTGTGTTGGAGACGATCTGCAACATGAGACCAGAGGTAGTCCTTGTTGAGTTGGAGACAATCTGCAACATAAGACCGGAGGTGGTCCTTGTTGTGTTGGAGACAATCTGCAACATGAGACCAGAGGTAGTCCTTGTTGTGTTGGAGACAATCTGCAACATGAGACCAGAGGTAGTCCTTGTTGTGTTGGAGACAATCTGCAACATGAGACCAGAGGTAGTCCTTGTTGTGTTGGAGACAATCTGCAACATGAGACCAGAGGTAGTCCTTGTTGAGTTGGAGACTGAGTGAGTGAGTATGGTTTTACGTAGCTTTTAGCAATATTGCAGCAATATCACGTCAGGAGACACCAGAAATGGGCTTCACACATTGTACCCATGTGGGGACTCAAACCAAGGTCTCGAGAGTAACGAGCAGACACTTTAACCACTTGACTGAGATGTCTAATGTGAAACGAGTAACATGATCAAACGTGTAAGCATTGAAATTGCTCTTCCATATTTAGTATTAGTCACAAGTCACAAGTCTGTTTTAAGTTTGTTTGTGTGTCCTAGGTTCTGATGCAGATATCTCTGTTTATCAGAGCAGCAGCAGAACATTCCACAAACATATGGTTGTAGATATGTCCTCTTCTCCTGTTCCAGAAATGGCCAACTTAATGACAATGCATGGGAGGAAGATAGATTCAGTGCGGGAACATGAACGCAAACTACGGAAGAGTCCCAGATAATGTCGGACTGTTCCAGATCCGTCCAATACTAAACATTTCTGTGATACCCCTGTACAGTGAAGCTGAGGAACACTGTTCTCCACACCTTTTTTAGGTTTTATTTATTTTGACTATATATTGGTCCTTCTTGTATCAGGAGTAGTTTCTCTCTAGGATGATGAGTGTCACATGCAAAACTGTCAAACCTGAGTGAGGAGGCTACAGTCGCTCAGGGAATACATGTTACTCTGTTTTAGTTCAAACATGCAGAAGTCATGTGTGGAAGTACATGGTTGATATTATCATTACCATTATACTGTTGAAAGACAAGCATCCATAATGAGTCTTGTAAGTCATAATGTTTGACGATTCATCTAATATTTCTGAACATTTTCCTGAGAGAAGGCAATCAATTTTCAGATAGAAAGGAAATGTATACTACATCTGTATCACCAACAAAAGGAAAATGATTTAAAGTGTTTGTAAAAGTATTGCATGTCTGATTATGTTGCCACTCAAGTACATCTCTAACAGGCCAGTATAGTATCAGATGTCCTGTAGAGACCAGATAAGCTGCACCCAGAAGATGGAATGTCTGGTATGGTGATCTCTACTGGATGAAGTCATAGTTCTACTGTTACATGACCAGCATCAGCAGCACTGAGTGCCAGTTTGGTTGGTGATTATCATCATCAGAGGCCCAGGTGGAATCTGACAGGATAATGGTGGGAAGCTGGTCCGTGTTGATCTCCTGAAACCAGGTCCACTGGGTGGCAGTTGTGCGCGTCTCTTATCAAGATGTTTGAAATGAGGGATAATAATTTGAAATTGAATATATGATTACCCTGCAGCATCTCACCATTCCATGTATTCAAATGTGAAGGTAGAAGTATAGTTTCACTCATTTCATTTCTTCTGAAGTATTAAATCATGCCATATGTCAACAATTTGCGAGATACTTTTCACCATTTGAACATAATTTTCTGACCAGTATTACATAGTTTTCTGCAACTTCATAATTCAACATTTCCAGTGGCCGAGCCAGGCCATTTTACTACCTCATCCTGTCTACACAGAATTCCTTTGTAACCCACAAGCAGAGATGCAGCATGAGTTTTTGTTGTTATAAATTAGACTGAAACCATAGAAGCATGTCCCTCCATGGATGTAGCAGAAAAAAACTGTCGGTGTGAGTAGCTGTCATCCGTGTGAAGTCTGGTGAATGAAAGGATCAAGTCACCGCTGTATGCCAGTATTTACAAGAAAGGACAGGATCACTCCTCTCTGACAATCAGTTCTGTAAGGACCAAGTATTTTATGACACCTACCACTGTGAATGTATGACAGACCATGTTGGTTTCTTGCATCATGAGATACTGAATGCCATATTTATATTTATCATTGATGTTCATCCCAATATATACATATTGTTATGGGTGGGTGGGAGACATTTACGTCATTGATAAGTTTGGTACAGAAGCACAAGAAGTAGCATTATATACTTGGAAACATGTTAATGTAAATAAGCCTGCATGAACTTGTAAAGTAGTCCAACAGTATTTCTGTAAGGAAACTTCTATGGGTTTGTATGTACTTATTCCATATGGTTTACAATATATCGTATTTGTATCTATTTTATTGTCTTTGTACAATGTCGGCAATAAAGCATTCACTGAAATGAGTCACATGGGTTCTTCTGCTCGGCAATATGCTCAATCATACATCGTCTGTAAGGACCCACATTAACCACTGATGTCAGCAGATTGTGCCAAACTGGAAATATATTCTTATATACATCCTCTCTGGTTCCTGTAGGATGGGACCACCAAGATGGCCACTCATCACAATGAGCACTGTTTTGTCTGGTCCAGATTTGAGTACTACCAGGCCCTTGGGTCATGTTACGCCAAGCTCGTGTGGTCAAGATTCAAGTATTCACTGGCAGCCGTCATATAGGTGGAATGCTGCTGAGTGCCGCGTTAATCAACACTTGAGTTACTTTGGATGTGTAGGGCTTCAGACTGAGTGTAACCACCAGGAGTCAGCTCTATGCGTGGGGCTTCAGACTGAGTGTAACCACCAGGAGTCGGCCAGAGTGTAACCACCAGAAGTGGCTCGATGTGTGGGACTTCAGACAGAGTGTAACCACCAGGGTCGTGCTCTATGTGTGGGGGCTTCAAACAGAGGATAACCACCAGGAGTCGGCTCTATGTGTGCGGCTTCAAACTGAGTGTAACCACCAGGAGTCAGCTGTGGGGCTTCAGACTGAACCACCAGTGCTCTATGTGTGGGGCCACCAGTGTAACCACCAGGAGTCGGCTCTATGTGTGGGGCTTCAGACTGAGTGTAACCACCAGGAGTCACCTACTTCAGGAGTCAACCACCAGGAGTCTCGATGTGTGGGGCTTCAGACTGAGTGTAACCACCAGGAGTCGGCTCTATGTGTGGGCTCTATGCTTCAGACTGAGTGTAACCACCAGGAGTCGGCTCTATGTGTGGGGCTTCAGACTGAGTGTGGGGCTTCAGACTGAGTGTAACCACCAGGAGTCGGCTCTATGTGTGGGCTTCAGACTGAGTGTAACCACCAGGAGTCGGCTCTATGTGTGGGGCTTCAGACTGAGTGTAACCACCAGGAGTCAGCTCTATGTGTGGGGCTTCAAACAGAGTGTAACCACCAGGAGTCGGCTCTATGTGTGGGGCTTCAGACTGAGTGTAACCACCAGGAGTCAGCTCTATGTGTGGGGCTTCAAACAGAGTGTAACCACCAGGAGTCGGCTCGATGTGTGGGGCTTCAGACAGAGTGTAACCACCAGGAGTCAGCTCTATGTGTGGGGCTTCAGACTGAGTGTAACCACCAGGAGTCAGCTCTATGTGTGGGGCTTCAGACTGAGTGTAACCACCAGGAGTCAGCTCTATGTGTGGGGCTTCAGACTGAGTGTAACCACCAGGAGTCGGCTCGATGTGTAGGGCTTCAGATAGAGTGTAACCACCAGGAGTCAGCTCGATGTGTGGGGCTTCAAACAGTGTAACCACCAGGAGTCGGCTCGATGTGTGGGGCTTCAAACAGAGTGTAACCACCAGGAGTCGGCTCTATGTGTGGGGCTTCAAACAGAGCATAACCACCAGGAGTCGGCTCGATGTGTGGGGCTTCAGACAGAGTGTAACCACCAGGAGTCAGCTCGATGTGTGGGGCTTCAAACAGAGTGTTACCACCAGGAGTCGGCTCGATGTGTGGGGCTTCAGACAGAGTGTAACCACCAGGAGTCGGCTCGATGTGTGGGGCTTCAAACAGAGTGTAACCACCAGGAGTCGGCTTGATGTGTGGGGAAAACACAAAGTAACTACTGATCAGAGTGAATCTTGCTTAAACACTCTATTCCAACCCCCTTACAACACACGTCCATCCAATCCTGGCCCAACTAAGGGATGCAAACCCAGCTTGGTCTCAGGCACAGTACCCATTACAAGAAACAAACTCTTCTTAGCTCTTCAGAGATAGAAATTGCTAGCGAGACAACTAGTTGCAGATTTTTCTTTATTATTTTACCTATTCCTGTATTGAATAGTGTAATATGTTTTGATTCCATTGCCAAAACATGCAATTGAGAGTCACTTGTAGATGTTCCTAACTTGTCAAGTAGACCTTTGACCTGTGTCAGTACAAGTGACATTAAACTAACATCTCGTAAGTGCTGATGATGGACGCTAGATGCTAGGTAGTTAACGTGTTTGATGAGGTTTCTAAACACAGTAATTCAGTTTTACAGCACTGTGAACACCGTCCACCATAAACCAGAAACTGAGTGATGGTCACTATAGAAGCCTACACATAACCATATCAGGGCGCTGTTGACCCACACATTGACAACTTAGGAACAGACTACCCCTAACACCAGGATAATGGATCTGTTTACCCCTGTCTATTGGATTACTGTCCAGACTGTTCCCAAGTGGAGATATTGGACTATTTTCAAGTTAATTATTGTAGATAAGATGGATTGTTTTCTTGCCGGTGTCGAAGAATGGCGGCGTTGTCATGTGGCTATTTCTCCCGTGTCATCGACATCTTGTTTCACAACGTCTCCGGCAACGCTTCGGTCATGTGGGGGTGTACGTGCGTTACCTGTCTGCAGTACACCGGAAATACCTTGTTATCACCAGTCTGCACTTGAGCGAATTGTGAGACACGTGATTTGCTTCCAGTCCTCAGACATTTTCGCAATAAAGCTTCGTGTTTGGTCGTAATTACAACAGTTATTCCATTGTCAGTCGTATGGAGGACAAGATGGAGGACAAGTGCTTTCTGGAGTGTACAATCACGCTACGATGTGTAATATTACAGCTTATACACTTTCCCCTCACTACATGCTGACACGCTATCACTGGACGCTGACATTAAACCAGAGTCATCCACTCTGCTGATATATTCTGTAAAGAGTCAGACTAACCAGAGGTTCATGGCACGTACTCTGGAACACAATTAGACACGTCACACATGGTAGGGATTTCCTATCATCCTCCATTATCCAGCGGGGTGTAATATCTTCATTCCTTCAGATGGTCTAACGAAAGCCGGCGCTTACGAACAAACGATGAAGGAACTTATCCGACCGGAACTCCAGAGCTGAAGTTGAAGATCTCAACACACTAAGCACATTGTGAATGGTGGAATGGAGCGGAAGTCACCCGGCTGTTGTTGCTGCTGCTTGCCGTTGCTTCATGACGTGGGGAAAGGGTTTGGTGGTTGATGGCGGGTCGCCGTATGACAACTGCGTGGAAGTCTGCTTATGATACCTATTATTGGTCTGTCTAGTCCAGACTCGACTATTTACAGGCCACCGTAATACAGCTGGAATATTGCTGTCCTAGCATCAAGAACAAAACTCACACAATCCAATCAACAGTCATGTAGGTATAAATATTGTCATTGTTTTGTTATACTTTCGATTCTCTTGATAAACAACCAGCTCAACCAATCATGGTTGTTGTAATGCCTAGTCATTGTTGTAATGCCCAATCACTGTGTTCTGGGAATCGCTTACCATAATGTTGCGCCTTCCGTTACAAAACAGCTGAACCAGTCGAGATTGTCCCATTTGTGAAATCCCCAATTCTTGCTAAGTGATCTTTATTGGTGTGAAACGACCAGGTTACAGCTTTAATATGTATATGTCTCAATGGGGACTGTGAGCATGCTATCTTTAATGCTGAAATGCTTGCAATCTGGCTTTGTGTATCATTGACAATGTATTCCTGAAGCCGACCTCGGCCTCACGGGAACTACTCTCCTGTCAAATGCGGTGATTGTTTAAAAAGGGTTTTGAAAACAGCATGTGTACCGTTATCTCCTACCGTGTGTTTGACAGAGACGTCTTTGATGATGGTGATATTGCAGCTGTTGATGCTCCATGTATACTCTTAAACATGAATGCCCGTATTGTCAGATCCATCGTCTTGTGTTCATCTGCATGTTAACTCACATTAAAGTGTCCGATCAATCCATTCATGTGATTTCTTCCCGCCCAACTGAAGCGTAGATTAGGTTATGAACGGAACTTTTGTTGGTTTCGCACTTCAACCTCAGTGCTTGTTCAGCTGTCTTTAAAGTCTCAGCCACTTTTAAAGTTTTGGAGTAAGGATCCCCGTAGCGATCGGAACCAATTGTGGATGGTACCCTGCACAGATCGATCTTATATGTCTATATCTTTATGTCGTGTAGAGAGTAAGATAGTCGTAACGATGATATTTCTTTGGGAAACTGGCCCTGGCAGTAGGATTACGGTAGTCGGAGGGCTAACATCACTTGTGGAACGGGACGAAGGCTATAAGACTGGAAAAGAATCGAGCGTAGATTCCAGTTCAACTGGACACTCTGGGAGCAAGGAGGTCCGTCCACGTGTCACCGACAATCGCTTCCGATTTTAAACCCGATTTGTGTCTTCTCCGTTAATTCTGTCGCCGGCTTGCATCCGATAAGGAATGTCGCCTCTATGGTGCTTGTGTGGTTCACGTTCCCTGCCTGCGGTTACTCATCACATTATTAATAAAGCCAAATAAAGCTGGATAATTTGAACCATTTATTGTGTGTTTCTTAGATACGTGATGTCAGTGTGCATTGATTGGTACTTACATCGAAGCCACATGTACATCAATGAGCGGGGGTGCAGCTTTCTTTAACCAGTGCGTTACGCCACCGATCGTGTGAAACTGCTTGTTTTCCTGTCTAGGACAAGGCTGTATAGCTCTTTGACGAGAGGTCAGACCAGTAACACTGTCCAGCACACGTGTTTTAACACATCAAAACATGACACATGGTCACCTGTGTACCCGAAACTTCGGGTTATGAATATTTTCTGATGTTTAAATTGAATTTGAGATCAAATCATATTCCGCTATAATAATAAGGTGTCAAAATTGAGGATTTGTATGTGTGCTAATGAACTCCCAAGTTTGCTGCACGGCTGTCACATGTATCTGAAAACGACGACAACGATGAGGTAATTGTCGTGGCGGACGTCACTACGATGTGTCGTGGATGTCACAATGTGTACCGGCCGCTGAGTTCATGTCGTCTTTTTCTTCAGAATGTGTCGTAAATGTCAGAACGTTTTGTTATCAGCCCAGCCATAAAAAAATCTTTGAAAGATTTTGATGAAGTGCAAATGTGCTTCAATATTCCTATTGTCATTGAAGCAAAATAGATTTTATAGAAAAGTATGACCTAGGCTTTTAGATCAACTCATGTTTGTTGATAGCTTAGCTCGATTCTGAATAGCCACCGCGAAGTACTGTTGGCATGTGGATATGGCTTATTGAATGGGCGAGATTATATACTAATTGAGAGTGTGTTTTGAAAATATCACCTCTCCTGCTTTGAGTGGTTTATTTTGAAAGAAAACCTGTCGTGCAATATTATGAATTAGAACTTTCCATGATTAAAATTTAGTTTTCTAATAGTTTCTGCATTTAGCCTTGACATGAAAGTGTGTTTTTGTGTCGTGAATTCAATATACTGATTCCAACAGAAGAAAATATTACCCTCAGGAGATCCTAACAACGACTGAAGGTCTGGCCTTGTATGTCCCGAGTACTTCCCTAACACATCGTGTTATGTTCTCTGTTTGTATGCCATTACTTAATAAAAGTTGAGGTAAAACAACCCGACCTGTACAAGCTCCGACTGTGGCCTCCAGCACACGCCACAACCAACTACTTCCTTATCACCTGACGGACAACTGAGGCCAGAGTATATCACTTTACATTGCGTTAGGAAAGTCATAGCGATCATTGTCAACACAGTACTTTAAAGCTAATGAAGATTAAGGACGACAAATCGCTGCTTTGAGTTAAATGAATATTACGTTTCCAGACAGAATCTTCCTGACAGTTGTGCACATGATGTATTTTGATAACCTTTTGTATGTATATCAACAAGAAGTCATAGTTAGAAGTTGAAGAAATTTACAACATTTCAACTCAAGCCTTCCAGCTACTTGTTATTTCACCAGTCGTTCAAACGTAGAGATTATGTGATTGTTCACATCATGGTCTACTCCTGCCGTCATAGAGACAGCTGTACAGACGCATCATGGTCTACTGCTACCGTCATGTAGACAGCTGTACAAACACATCATGGTCTACTACTGCCGTTATGGAGACAGCTGTACAGACACATCATGGTCTAATGCTACCGTCATGTAGACAGCTGTACAAACACATCATGGTCTACTACTGCCGTTATGGAGACAGCTGTACAGACACATCATGGTCTACTGCTACCGTCATGTTGACAGCTGTACAGACACATCATGGCCTACTACTGCCGTTATGGAGACAGCTGTACAGACACATCATGGTCTACTGCTACCGTCATGTAGACAGCTGTACAAACACATCATGGTCTACTACTGCCGTTATGGAGACAGCTGTACAGACACATCATGGTCTACTGCTACCGTCATGTTGACAGCTGTACAGACACATCATGGTCTACTACTGCCGTCATGTAGACAGCTGTACAGACACATCA